GTTACCGGAATATGACACTTTAGACCCGTCCAAGTTCAGCCTTCAGGCAGGTCCGTCTTTTCTTGCACATGTCCTAACACCTGTCATCCCAACTTACCACACTGGAACACGCGATTATTTAATTGCGTTACACCAGAACCGCTTTTTAAATCGCTGTACCACCCTGGCCGTCCAGACTTTCAGAAGTCCGAAACCATAGGCACCACGTGAATAGCGAACTGTTGGTCTTTCTCTGCCAGTTGTTTCGGACTAGCGCGAATCCCAGATCCCAAATTCATGCTCACATTCTTTTCCTCCCCTTCTCTTGCCAACACCCCCATTCCTGCCGTCCCGCGCTTGTCCATTCGATCCCTGCCTTCCGGGTCGGTGCGTATTACCCACTTTTCACGCCATGGATCTCTGTGTAGCGATTGGTGCTCACAAAACTCCTCCCCTTCGTCCCCGTTTCCTCGTCTCGTGTTTCAACCCGCTCACCACTTCCCCCGTCCCCGAACCGCGTGGTGAGTGCTACTTTCTTGTGCTCGTCGACGACTATACGCGCTACACCACGGTGTTTCCCTTGGAGCGGAAAGCCGACGTGCCCGACGTTCTTCTCCCGTGGGTTGTGGCTGCGCGTCTTCACCGCGGTCTCCCCGTGTTGTGTCTCCACTCTGACCGTGGCGGCGAGTTCGCCTCTGGTCGGCTTGGACAGTTCTGTCATGCGGAGGGCATCACCCAGTCGTACACCTTGCCGGACTCACCACAGCAGAATGGGGTTGCTGAGCACTGCATCGGCTTGGTCATGGAGGTCGCCCGTACTTCCATGATTCATGCCGATGCCCCCCATTTTCTGTGGCCGTTCGCTGTTCGCTATGCTGCTCACCAGCTTAACTTGTGGCCACGCTCCCAGCGGCCGCAGGTTTCGCCGACCCTCCTTTGGACCGGGTCCCCGGGTGACGCGTCTGCGTTCCACGTCTGGGGCTGCCTTGCTCACGTTCGTGCCTCTGGCACGGACAAGCTTACTGCCCGCACTGTCCCCTGTGGCTTCCTCGGTTTCCCCCTGGACTCGTCTGACTGGCTTTTCTACCACCCGCCGTCTCACCGCTTCCTCCACTCTCGTGACGTCACCTTTGACGAGTCTGTCTCCTTCTACCGCCGCTTCCCTCACCGCGGTCTCCCGGTTGCCCCACCCCTGTTCCTTGCTCCCTCTCCCCCGGTAGCCCCTGCTCCTCTCCCTCCTCTCCCTGCCCCGTCTGGTGTCTCTCACGTCACTCCCCTCCCGTCGGTTGTCCCCGTTGAGGAGTCCGCTGACTCTGGTGGTACCCCCGGCCCGTCCTTGCCGCGTCCCCCTTCCCCGGTGTCTTCGCCTCCGCTGTCGCAGTCGCCGCCTCCGCCGCAGCCGCCGCCGCCGTCGCCGCCGCTGCCGTCGCCGGTGCTGCTGCCGCCGCTGCTGTCGCCACTGCTCTTGGCCCCTGGGGGTGCTGGTGTGGAGGAGGGTGTTCGTACTGCGGCTCCTGGGGGTGCTGCCGGTGTTAGAGGGGGTTCTCGCTCTGGGGGTGTTGGTTCTGGGGGTGCTGCTGTTGAGGGTTCCGCCGACGGTCGTTCTGCCTCTGCCGGTCCGAGGGTTCCGACCCAGCCGTCGCAGCAGCCGCAGCAGCCGTCGCCGCCGGTCTCCGCTCTCTGCCTGCTTCGCCTTCCCTCCCCGGACCGCTCGCCGGTGTCTCCCCCACCGCCTGCTGACCTTCCTGTCTACGGTCCTGTGTTTCCGCCGCCAGACTTGTCTCCGGCCCGTCTTCCTCCTCGTTCCCCTCTTGTGTCCCCTCCACTGTCCCCTAACCCTACACCTCCGTCCCACGTTTGGTCTCGCCGTCCCTCCCGTGCTCGTCCCGTCTCTCCTGTCCTGCGCTCCCACCCTATGTTGCTCCGTTCCCACTCGCCTCGTCCTCCCCTCCTTCCGTCCCCTCCTCCCTCGTCCCTTGCTGTTGCACCTCCTCCGTTCTCTAACTACCTCCGTGCCACTCGTCCCCTTGTCCCTCGGGTCCTTGCCTCTCTTGTTACCGAACCTTCTGTTCCTGTCTCGTGCCTTGACGCGCTTGTCGCTGCTGTCGCTGACTTCGCCTCTACCCGCCGCCTTGACTACGCTACCGCTCTGGTCTCTGACCCTGCCCGTCCTCTGTCCGTCGGGGGTGCTCCTGCCCATGGCAGTGACGTCCTAGAGGGCAGGCAGTACGAGCTTGCTTTCCTTTCCGAGGCTGCTCCCCATCTCTGCTACATGCTGTTAGTCCCTGAGGGTGACCCAGACGCCTTCGACATCCCGACCCCTCGCACCTACGCTGAGGCCACCTCGGGACCTTGGGCCTCTCATGGATAGCTGCCATGGAGCAGGAGATGGCATCTTGGAGGTCCACCGGCACTTACGTCAACGCAGTTCCCCCGCCTGGGGTGAACGTAGTCGATGGTCGGTGGCTCTTCAAGGTGAAGCACCCCCCTGGAGAGCCGCCTGTCTTCAAGGCGCGCTACGTGGCCAGAGGCTTCAGTCAGCGCGAGGGGGTTGACTTCTTCCAGACCTTCGCCCCGACCCCGAAGATGACCACTCTTTGGGCGCTGCTACACGTAGCAGCACAGTCGCTTTGTGGCTACAGGCAGACACCGACCTCAATACTGGTCTGCCGCTAAGAGGGTTTTGCGTTATCTTGCGAGTACATCGGGCATGGGGTTAGTGCTAGGAGGACGCAGGCTAGTGGTCCTTACTGGGCACACAGACGCTTCTTGGGCAGACGACTCTGAGACGCTCAGGTCGTCGCAGGGCTACTGTTTTAGCCTTGGTTCGGGTGCTATCTCTTGGAGATCCACTCGCTCGTCGTCTGTGGCTCAGTCCAGCTGTGAGGCTGAGATCTACACATGGCGCCATGGCGGCACAGGAGCTCCGCTGGCTGACCTTCTTGCTCACAGACTTAGGTGAGCGGCCTAGCTCTGCCCCAATCCTGTACGCTGACAACAGGGCCATGATACTCCTGTGTCAGGAGCCTCGGCTTGAGGGCAGAGCGAAGCATAGCCAGCAGCGGTACTTCCTCCTGCGCGAGTTACAGCAGTGCTGCCAGGCCCGCGTAGTTCACTTGGCCTCATGTGCCAACACAGCTGATATCTTTACTAAGGCGCTTGCGCCTAAAGATCATCAGCGGCATTGTGTTCAGCTTGGTCTTGTTCCTGTAGCTACTCACCTGTTAGGATCCTGATTGTGTACTCTCTATTATATATACCTGTCAGACTGGCCTTGTGGCCTTACCTCCAGTGGCTGGACTAGTAGTGCCGCCCAGGCTTGCTTTTGTTTTGTTTGTACTCTTGCTGACTGGTCTCCAGACCCCTGCCTCAGTGGTTGGACTAGTAGTGCCACCCTGAGCTGTTTGCTTCTTGCTTGGCTTCACCCCTTGTCTAGCCTAGAAGGTGTGTCAACTTATACATATTAGCTATGTAGAAGTTATAGGCTAGACTGGGGTATGTTTCTAGTGAGTACAACCAACTAGTACTTGTTCTAGGTTTCTCCTTCTAGTTCATCATTCAGTTCTTACTTTGACACTATGCAGCTTGAATTCCTGGGACCGCACTATGCAGCATGAATTGCTGGGACCGCACTATGCAGCATGAATTGCTGGGACGGCACTATGCAGCATGAATTGCTGGGACCGCACTATGTTGCATGAATTGCTGGGACCGCACTATGCAGCATGAATTGCTGGGACCGCACTATGCATGTCTGGGACCACACTAGGCATGCCTGAGACTTCACTGTTGCCTATTCCTTGAGGTGCCTGGGGTTTGTGCATTATGTACAGCCATGGCATCCAGGCCAAGGCCTGCCACCTTCCCTTCCATCTATCATTGACCTGAAGAATCTGCTTCGCTCTACACCCAATCAGCACTTGACCCCCTTTTGTGCAAGCCCATTCTATCATTTTACCATCTTTTCCCCCTCTCCTTCGCCTACCTTGGGTGCCTCTCACCCTTGTGCCCACCCTGATCCGCTCTCCCCAGCTTTGGATTGGTGCTGTTGGAGATGGTGTCGGGGAGGAAGGCTGTGCTAGAAGAAAGCGACATCACCTTCAGCAACCACCATATATCCAAATGGGTATTTCTCATACGGTTGACTGCATTTCATGAGTTCTGATCAACATGCTGCTGCGCCTAGCATCTTCAAGAGTGCCATACATGCAAGCTGCTCTTTCCTGCCTAATATGTTGTAGGACATAATATTTCTGTTTCACACGTGCAAGCACATGAGCTTGTGATCGCAGGCAATATCTCCCATGTGGTAAGGGAGGAGCTGAAAGCACCACCTGATGCCGCCATCGTGTTTGTCGACCTCGCCATGGATTGCTTGAAGCGGCCCGGTGCCCTACGACCGGAGATGAGAGACGTGGCCCGCCGTCTTGCTGCCATACTTGCCATCGCCCAAGGAGATGCTCCTGCTGGAGATGCTAACGGGTTGAAGCAGAAGGCACGGATGGTTACTGGTGTAAATGATGAGAAAGTCAAAAGTTCAGACGAAGCAGCTGAGCCGTTCAAAGGAGAGTGTTTAGTCTAGATGCAAGTGCACTTGTTGGGTAAGCCTCCTCAATGGCACACCCTGTCACAATTTCCCTGTAAGTGCTATATGGTTGCAACATTGACAACAACAGTACGTTTTCCGCCATGTATTGGAATGGAGATTTCATTTTTTAGTTGGCCATTTATGTTTTGCGATGTATGTAAACGAGAGCATGAAGTCCGATTCTGATACTGTAGTTACCGCATTTATGTGAATCCATCAGGAAGTGAGATTTTGCGGGACAACAAACTTCCCCACTGGGCATTCGATTCGAGCATCTGCAAAGCATCTCCATCCAGAGCAAGCGATGCTCGACTACCTTTCCCGCCTGATCGCGATTGATGAAACTTGATGCGTCCAAATTGTTCGTTTTCGCTAAATACCCTACCTAACCATTCTAGGCTGCTATTCGAACGTTTTGAAACGCAAAGCAAGTTACTCCACCGCAGTCAGACATACTATTTGGACCCGCCCTCAGCACTGATTCCATCAGACAGATTCAAGTTCTTTATCGAAGTCCTTGCGCCTTACCACTGGCAGTAGTCTAGTGCTTTATTCTCAGTTGTCGCCATGGGGGACAGCGATACTGACTCTTCCGCAGATTCCGAGGGCCTTGAGGAAGGGGAGGAGCCCAGCTCCCTCACTTTCCGCACTGATGGTGGCTGGCTAAAACGCTTCTTTGACTCGGCCTTTTTCTGCGAGTGGATTGCCGTCACGTACCTTTTCAAGTATGTTTGGACAAGACGTTTTCGTCGGAAGGTCGAATGAAGTACTGAGCAACTTGTTGTTTCTGTTTCAGGCACCAGAGCGGCGGCGTGCGAGACTATTTGTGCGACAGAATGTATTCGTTACCCTTGGAAGGAGTTCAGGATTACTTATTTCAAATTTGCTACCTCGCTGTTCACAAGCCAAGTCCGTCTCTCGAGAAGTATACTACTGATGTCTGCTCCCAGTCTCTGCATTCGTTTCTTCGGGTAAGGAGTCCGGTAGAATAACAACACCTCTAGGTTTGTGGACAATGCCTGACTTTCCATCGTTGTCTTGTTCAGGTGTACTGGTTTTTGTCGGCTGAGCTCGCTGATCGACCCAATGATCTGTCCGTTGCCAGCATTCAATCCAGATCTTACGAGGCTACCATGCAGGGTGTGGTTCCTAGCCTAAGATGTCCCAGACCACCACGGGTTTCGTTCTTCGGACGTCAGAACGTGTTTCAGCTCATGTCATCAGCCTCCAGGCGTTTGCTTCCCCTCCCTTCTGCCTCTCCGAGCGCCACCCATACCTTTGATGGGAAGAACCCCATTCTAGCAGTTGCACCGAGCTATGTCTGGGGAAGAGAAGCTCAGCAACCAGCATCCAACGAACTGCCACCTCCCAAAAGCGCTGACTCTGTTCCGTCTCTTGAGGATGACCCAAGCACAGAAACGAGCCTCAAGTCCGAACCGAGTGATGTTGTCGTCACGCATGAGTCAACATTCTGGCGTTTCCTCCGTGAAAGGAGGCTCGGCACTCCTACTACTGACAGCAACCAGTCCCGTTCAGACAACAACACTGGCTGGAGCTTTCTGGGGGGAAGAAGGGAGGCAGTGTCAACCATTGTGGGGGATCTTGGAGCAGTTACAGAAGCTGATGAAACGCATGCAGAGGACGGAGAGAGTGGGGCTTGCAGCCCATCGCTGAACCAAGGAAGACGCAATTCTGGAGGTGAAGCAAGAAAAGCTGGAGTCATGAGACGGCTCTTCGCATTGGATGGCAATGGGGTGGAAACTCTTCAAGTTGCGGATAAGAATGACACCTTTTTTCAGCGGATATTTGGGGAGCCGTCAGAGCGAGCGGGACCGAGCTTGTTGGATGGAAGCACGAAAACATCTTCAGCAGCGGAGTCACGTGAAACAGCTGTGGATGATTGTTTTTGTGTTGAAGCAGGAGTCGTTACTGCAGCCGACACAAGCACAGCATTTGTTGGAGGAAGCGGTCAAGGGCTAGTAGAGGAGGAAATCGGTGCAGCTTCTGATGCGACTTTTGAACAGTCTCCTTCGCAGAGCTCAACAGAAGCTGACTCCGTTGGGAGGCCTGTTTTCAAAGACAAGCTAACAACGGATCTCACACAAACTGATGGTGGAGAGGGAGAGTCAGCGGATGGCGAAAACAGCTTGCTTAAGTGGATGTCTTGGAAAAGATCTGGTGGCATGAGCAAGGAGGCAGTGACTCTGATCGGAGGAGACAAGCACAGAAAGGAGTCACAGTCAAAAGAGAACGTTGGGAGTGAGCACGTGGGACTTCTGGGTCACATTCTGCACAAAAAGACAGAATGTGTTGATTCTGTTAATGACGCAGTCGTCTCTGGTTGTCCTGAGGAGCAGTCTGAAGGAGTTCAACAGAAGGACATGCAACAGCATCAAGAAAAAGCCGGCCCTTCCAGCAGCAGCACAGTGCTCAAGGTTCTGGTAGCCACTGCTGCAGATGCCGCCTCTGGAGTGGTTGCCACTGCTGCTGGTGCTGCTGGTGTTGTTGCTAATGCTGCTGGCGCTGCGTCCGGTGTTGTTGTGTCTGCAGCCGGTGCAGCTTCTGGAGTGGCTGCCACAGTCGCTGGTGCAGCAACAGGGGCGAGGTTGCTAGTGGGGGAGGCTGCGAGCCAAGCAGTCAGCATGGTTCCCAAGAATGCTCTTCGGCGAAAGGCTTCTCAAGATGTGAGCAGTACCGTCTTCAGACCAGAGCCGGAATTAGGGACTGGTCAAGATGACGTGAGCCTTGAACACATGGCAAGCCCTGAGCACGGGTTGCACCATGTGATTCAAGTTCCTCGAAGCGACACTTCAAGCTCTCAGGCCTCTCCAGCACAACTAGCAGACTCATTGAAGAAGGGCGCGTGTGCAGCAGTGGAGGGCAGCCATGGGCAGGACAAGAGGGCTGTGGTCAAGGCATCCCCTGGATTCATGCGGAGGCTCTTCAAAGACAGACCAGAGGAGGAGCCCAAGGATCCATCGTTCCTCAACCTGAATGCTGCTGCCACAACCTCTCCTGGAGGAAGCCATATCCCGGTCGTTGATGCACCACTGCCCCAAAAAACAAGTGCCCTCCGCAGCCTCTTCAGCACACCAACGTTCTTTGCCTCTGGAGTTACTAAAGCCAAAGACATGGCAGCAGAGGGCGGTCAGGAGGCTCCGCAGAGCATTGCAGAGCAGATTGCAAGCAGGGTTGGCTCGCTCAGGAGCTTAAGTGGCGGCTGGAATCCTGAGCATGCGCCATCCACTTGCCATGAGCCAGCCGCTGATTGTGGGGCTGCAGACCACCAGCCATTCAAGGGGGCAGTCGTCGAAGCTGATGTGCAACCACAAGCAGCAGAGCCAGCTGCTACTCTGGAGCCCCTCGAGGCTAGTGACTCCGATGTTCGGCTGAGCTCTGCTGGGGTTGATGACGCCAGTCTTCTCACTGCAGGAGTGGTCATCGAGCAGGCACGCCCTTCTTCCTCTCCCCAGAAGCAACCTGCTGCAAGTCCAAGCCCCTGGTCTCTGCGAGCAGAGGGACTCTTCTCCGCACTCAAAGGAGGAGCCAGGAGCAGCTCAAACCAAGCAGAGACACCGCTGGGGCGTGGGGAAAAGGAGGGTGTCTCTATTGTTGATAGCGGGGCGTCTGCTTCTCCTCAGACCGAGGCAAGCTGTCTCCAGTACTGTGCCAGTCTTTTGCTGCGCTCCTCGGTTTGGCGTTGACACGTCGTTGATCCATTGTGCAGGATTCATTGGAGGGCCTGTATGGCGGGCCAAAGCTCCCCAAGCATCCATCGTTCAGCATCAGGAAGAGCACTGTTCTGGCCACGCTGGACTTCGTGAAGGCTCTTGGAGACATCTCGTTTGGGCTGGTGGATGTGTTTCCCAACGAGGACAGGCAGACCGCGCTCAGGGAGGTGGGTCTGTGTCATTTGACCTCCTGTTTCCCGTGTTGGTCAATGCCCTTGCACTGACCCTGGTCTTTCTGCAGTCACTTGCAGAGCTCAACGCACATCTCGCAGGCATGCTGGCGAACGAGGGTCAGTGTGCATGACGCATCTTAATCAAGCAAGCTGCTTGCAAAAAGGTGCTAGCTAGTCCAGAGGGAGGTTGACTCATTCCCTACGTGCTGTGTCTGGCAGGTGTGTTCTTCCCCATGGGCAAGGGGTGCTTCAGAGTGGTGAGGCTGCTGGAGGACGAGGCTATGCTTATGAGCTCACGGGACAGAGTGCCCTTCATGCTGCTCCTCGAAGTCCTCAACTGCCTCCCCTTGAGGTCAGCCCCTCTCATTCCCGCAGCACGATCTTACAATCTGTCACCCAAGACTGAATTTCTCATGTGTGCCCCTGTGCTTGGCTGGCTACTCCCCTCGTCTCAACCATCTCTTGACTCACTCACAGTGCACGCAAGGCCAGCACAGCACACGAGGGCATGAAGCCAACCAAGACAGGGATTCCCCTGGCAGCCAGTCAGCCCCTGCCCATGCGCCCTCCGCCCTGGGCCCTGCACATGTGGAGCCAGGCGCGGCCTGCCTCTCACAGCGCACAGGACGCCCCTTTGGGTCTGTCACGCACACTGTCAGACGTGGCCCTGGACCGTGCTATGGCCAGCATGTACTCCCGTATGCGCCTCGTGCAGGTCGGACTCGATGTCTGCAGACGACCTCTCTTCGCCTCTGCCGCTGCTGCTGCTCCTCCTCCTGCTGCTGCTGCTCCTTGTGGCGCTTGCACCACAGGCATCCAGGGTGAAGGACAGCAGACTGCAGCAGGTGGAGCAACACTGGTGGGTGCTGCCGGCAGCTCTAGTCCATGTGCAGGCAGCTCCCCTGTGACGTCCAGCAGTGACATGGAGAAGGGTGGGCATGCAGGGGATGCAGAGTGGGAGGAGCATGTGAGTGTGAGGCTGGTGGCGGTGCCAGGAGTGACTCTGGACGACCTCACAGGGCTGGATGCTGTCAGCCTCTCCCGTGGCCGAGCCAGAGTGCCCAGCAGCCTTGCCATTGCACATGTCCGGGTATGTGCCTTGTGTTCCTGCCTTCCTAAACCATCCGGCGGCACTCCCTCGCTAAGCCTATAGGTTGTTCAATTTTATGGCGGTGTTGAAAAAAATCAGGACCTCTCCTGCCTGCGCTTCCAATGGCAGGCAGTCACCCATCAAGGCGAAGGGCCTCCTCCAGGCCTGCCTGTCACCAGCCCTTCGTCGGGAGTCGGCCCTGCACAGGTATGTGCTGTGCTTCAGAACTTGCAAGGCTAACAACGTCTGTACACATTGAAAGTCACTGTGTGACTCACCCTTTAAAATGACGGATGCAGGAAATGCTGGGGAAGCATTCACTGGAGGAGAACTGGGAGAGCCGAAAGGCGAGAATAAGGCAGTCGTCCAAGTTTGGCACCTCACCAGACTGGGACTTGCGGTCAGTGATTGTCAAGAGCGGTGATGACTGCAGGCAGGAGCACTTCGCCTTGCAGCTTGTAACACATCTCTCTGGTGAGCAAGATTTTGTGGCAGCTTTGAGCCTTTCTTGCATTCCGTTGTCTTCCATTAACAATGTGTCATATGCAACTTGCAGACATATTCCAAGAATCGGGGCTCCCACTGTGGCTAAGGCCGTATGAAATCCTCGTCACCTCAGGCAGCACTGCTCTCATTGAGACCATAACGGACGCTGTGAGAAACATTATGTTCTTTATTCTTGAAGCCCTGCTTCCATCAAGGACTGTCTCTCACACTCCAACTGTTTCTCTGTGCAGGTCTCTTTGCACGCTCTCAAGAGCCGCAACCCCCACATCACGAGCTTACGGCAGTACTTCTGCGAGAAATTCAAGCACGGCTCTCCTGAGTTTTGTATGGCTCAGCAAAACTTTGTGGAGAGCATGGCTGCCTATTCTGTTGTCTGCTACCTCCTGCAAGTGAGTCCCGCTTGTATTTCTACTTATACTTCCCTCGAGCTTAATGACCCATCAATTGAGTGTTTTGCATGTGCTGTGCAGCTGAAGGACCGCCACAATGGCAACATTCTTTTGGATGATCAGGGCCACATCATTCACATTGACTATGGCTTCATGCTCTCCAACTCACCTGGCTCTGTCAACTTTGAAACAGCACCTTTCAAGCTTACTCGTGAAATGGTTGAGGTGGGTTGAGGTGGTTGAGGTGGCTGCACCTTTCTCCTTTCTTTATAGATTTCACCAATTCTTTCACAAAGCCGGAGCATCAGGCAGCTGCGAGGACTCACAGGGTTGCGATGTGCTTCTGGATTTTTTGAGTTCAAACTGTGCAGGTTATGGATTCTGATGCTGATGGTTCTCCAAGCGAGGCATTTGACTATTTTAAGGTGAGCCTTTTGTGCACTTTACTGCAATTTGGTTGGATGCTCAACCCTGCTCTGCCGATATGCCCCCTCAACACAAACACCCCTCTGATTAACTCTGTGCCTGCCTTTACAGGTTTTGTGCATACAAGGTTTCCTTACGAGTCGCAAGCATGCAGAGCGCATTTTGTTGCTGGTTGAGATGATGCAGGTGCGTATTGACTCAAAGGTGAGCATGGTTGGATCGCCTTACTAGAACCCCCACTGACACCTGACTGTTACCTCCTTTTCAGCAAACCCGATGCCCCTGCTTCAAGGCTGGCCAGCGAGTGCTGCATAACTTGAGGAAGCGGTTCCACCTGACACTAACAGAGGAGGTAAGGTGGTCAGTTATTTCCATCACTATGCAACCTAGACAACTGACCCAAACCTCTTTGTTTTCCTGCAGCAATGTGTCTCTCTAATCCTGTCATTTATCAGCAAGAGTGTTGATGCTTGGAGCACCAGGCAATATGACTACTACCAACGAGTGTTGAATGGTATTCTGTAAACACAGATGTAAATGCTCAGGGTTCAATATGTAAAATGCATTGTCAGTTGCTGGTACCGTAGCTTCTGATTTGTTCACCAGTTGTGAAATAATTATCATGTACATTTTGCAAACGCTGTACGATAAAGGTTCTAGACACTTGAGAAATCTAAGATAGAAATGAAGGTAAGCAAAACGGCGAAAAGGGCTGGTATCTCAGGACCTCTTTCACCACAGCTATGCTAGTGTTCATCACCTCCATCATGGCCCATGGAAAAAATGGCTTCGCCCGGACTTGAACCGGAGACCTTCAGTGTGTTAGACTGACGTGATAACCAACTACACCACGAAACCACGTTTTAGAAGTGTACAGAAATAATTATGTACCCATTTATATAGGAGTTCTTTGCCGTCCCTGCTTTCATTTTCTGTGTTACTCAACTTGATTGTTTGCCATGGCTGTCGAAGCAATGAGCCCAATCACCCAAGAGTCCGTACACGCCGCTGTTGCCGCGAAGGAGTTTTCTAGGATAGCCGAAATCTGTGGTCGACTTGAGCTTGAGGTGTGTGCAGGTCTTCCTATTCTCTCCCTTGGCCAGGTCGTATCAGGTAGGTATCCACCTAGTCCCTATTCACCCAGTCCGACAATGGCCTGATTGAGAAATTCCTTCCATGCATCGACCACACCGTTGAGGTACATCCATGGCGACCTCGCTATAGCGGAGCGTCGCAAAACTGAAGCTGGTTCGCGGCTACAGTGACATGGATCCTCGTCCGCTCCTAACACCATTGTTCAGCGCGTGGACATTCTCCGCCTCCCACTTTCCTCTTCACGTTGCAGGCTGCAGCGTCGGGAGCACCGCCGCTGCCAGCAGCGATCGACTCGCTGCATCTGCTTGGCCTGCTTCACGATGGAGATTTGTAAGCGATCCATGGCCTTTGCGATAGAATCGCAGGTCGCTGTGTGATCACTGGTAGACTTAATCGGCTCATATCGTGCAGGTGTCTCACGACTGGTTGTTGTCGGTTCTCACTACCTCCGCACGATCCAATCCAAGCTTCGTGTTCTCCTCTTGGTTCTTCTCCCCGTCCTCTTTCCGTCATGTATTCCGAGTCTGATGAAGAAATGAGGCGCGCTTCTTATGGAAGCGGATACCTGCGTCCGTGAAAGAAGGCGATGCTGAGCTGGAAGCGACGTGGAGAGTGGGGCAAGCGATGTGGCGGCGAGACAGCCAAGGCGTTCACGAGGCGTTGAAAGCCTTTGACTGGTCGCCAGCTGTGGAACCCATGGTCGCTGCTGTCGCAGGTACTCGCTTCCACGGCATCAGAGATGCGTTTTCCCCACTTACTACATCCATTGTGCTTCTATTTTGATGTTTTTGTCTGAATTGGCACCAGATATGCTCCTTGGTTGGAGTTACTGCTCTAATCCAACACCCAATGCGCTTTTCATTCAGCATTCTATGTGTTTCTGCTTCACCTCTTTTTGCTTACAAGGGTTGTTTTCACACTTCGTGTGCTTCTAAACCATGCAATGTCGTCATTCCTATTTCTTCCTTCTCCACTCCTTTCTCCCCGCATTGCAGACAGATACACACATACCATGATCCAACTGCTTGCTCGCTCCTTCTCCACCATCTCACCTTCACATGCTGCCACCTTTCTCGGACTGACTACGCAAGAAGCCCTTCCATTCCGTGAGCTATCCCCCCCCTTCAATCACACTTGTCTTGCTTCGTCCTCCTCCTCCCTCCTGCAGCCTCTCACTTTTTCATTCGGCTTCTTTATCATTCCCTTCAGCTATGCGCGGGACCTGCTGCTCTTATGTCCTCTCTGTACGTCCTCTAGCTTGCCGTGTCTTTGTACGATGACCATCATCATTATGTGTTTCATTGCAGATCAGTGTTCTGCATGCAGGGCACAGCATGCATTGTTACCCGTTCAATCCATGCCCCCGTGTCCATGCAACGGATGGTCCCGAGTGGTATGAGCAGTGGAGGCCAAGGGTTGGAAACAGGACGCTGCAACAGACATGTTGAGTCCACCAGTGGTGCAGGGAGGGAAGGGCGGGGAGGCGGAGGAGGAGCTGAGGCAACTAGCCCAGGTGAAGCGGCTGACGGAGTATGTGTTCAACTTGGAGCACTGAAGCTGTCTGCTCTGCTCTAGACCATGGGCAGTGTGTGATGTGTAGACATGTTACCAGTATGTGGCTCGATGTTGATACACTTGCATGGAAACGAGTCACGCAACGCTCATGATCAGTGCGCAAAAGTTTCTCATGCATTTCATATCCAGCCGTTTTTCTCATGAAATTTTCTGTACTGGTGCATACTTGGAAGGACTACATTTTCCCCCATGGCTCGCAATTCCAGGAAGGGCTGTATGAAAAACTCAACCAAGTGGCAGAGCAGGGCAGCCAAAGCAAGAACCGTATACGATGCTGCTGTGAGCCACACAAGTAGCAGCTGTAAGCCACCACAGCGTAAAAATTTATCCTACAGCAACATAAACACTGACACTTGGGACTGTGCCGACCATCTCCTGGCGCACTGTAGCATCCGCCCTTGCCCAACAGCAACTCACCATTCTCAACTCCGAAGGCATGGGTGTGCAGACAGTGCAGAGGGGCAGCTGTTACCGGCTCATGGAATCAAAGAAGTCACTGATGGCTCCATTCAACGACCCAAATGCATCCAACCTTCCCCTCTCCTCTGCCACCTCTGCAGCCTCCCCATTCACTTTCCTCCCATTCACCTTGCCATTGACTTTTCCCGTCACTGCTGCTGCATCCTTCCCCCCATTCGACCCATCCCTGTCATCAGCAGCACCACCATCACTGCTGCTCGCCCTCTCTGCTCTCATCTCTCTCCTCCTCCGCCTCTCCTCCAGCCTCCACAGCCGCTCAGCCGTATTCTCTATGTCCCACTCTGCCATCCGGGCCTCGCTCTGCTCCTGCCGAACCACATCCCAAACCTCCGCCTCATATGCCGCATGCCGCCGAGCCTCACCCTGCTGCTTCGGTGGCGACCAGTCACTCACAGGAAACGCTCGAATGCGGATCTCAGGTTCGGGATCCGAGCCTGTTCCGTCCCTCGCAGCTGCGGAGAGCTCGTGTGCAGCTGCCTTCCCCTCCTCCCCTCCATCCCTCTCGGCGTAAACCTCATCACTCGTCCTGTTCCTCAGCACATGCCCAGCAGCGCCCCTCACACTCTCAAACATCCATCCTGCTGCTCCTGCCACCGCCCCCCCTGCTGCCCCCACTGCGCCTCCCACTGCCCCTGCCGCCCCAACCGCCAACCCCTTTGCACCGCTCAGCACTCCACCCACAGCTGCCACGGCCCCTGACCCTACCACGCCTGCAACAGTAACTAATGACGGCTTCTTCTCCTCCTGAGCCTCACTACTACCCCCACTGCTCCCCTCGCCGCCCTCCTCTGCCCTGACCTCCGCCTCGTTACTGGCCACCACTTCCGTAATGCTAGCCTCTGCTATCTTATCCAGCCCCTTCTTCTCCCGCTCCTGCTGCAGCGCCCGCATTGCTTCCTCCTCCACCTCCCCCACCTCCTCCTCCCCCTCCACCACCACCCCCCCTTTGTCACTGTCCGAATCACTCTCGCCAAACACTTTTATGTAAGCAATGGGGGCGGTGGGGGCCGGAATGGCAGTTACCCCAACGCCGCTGGGGCTACTGAAGTTGGAGGACTCGTCTCTGTCGACGTACGACTTGTACGTGAGCAGAATGCGGATCTCGCCCTGTGCTGCCGGCTTGACGCCGAACGGGCCGTCTTGTAACAGTGGTAACCACATGGAGAGCGGCACGCAGTCCTGCAGCTGCCAGATGGGCACCTGGCGAGGATGAGGGGCACGAGGGCGTAGAACGGGTTGGTGCATCAGCAGAGGCAACAACATGCTGGGGGCGAGCATTGCAAGGCGTGCAAAAAAGGTAGGACGATTCTCAGCAGGCGATCCATGCAAAAGAGCTGCACCAGGAATCAGCCACCCTAGTCAGCGTGTCTCATTCATCCCAGCTCCAGCGCTTACCTCAACGAACCCAATGCTGCGGTTAAGCGCCATGGAGCCTCTTAGAATCTCTTAGAATGGCAGTGAACTTCCGACCCACGGGGCCCTCAGGCATCGCATCATATGTGCAAGAGAAGCCACCCTGCTCCATCCCACCTCCACGACTCACCTCCACGAAGCCGATGTTCCGGTTGAGCGCCATGGAGTCGCGCAGCATGACGGTGAGCTTCTGCCCCACGGGGTCCTCCACCCAGAAGTGGAAGTCCTGGTTCCACACTGGGTCTCGCGCGCCCGACGGGTGCGACGTCTCGCTATTGCGCTTGCTCTCCACCATCACGTCGCCCACCATGAGGCGGCAGTACGGGTTGCTCCACACTGCATCCATGGATAGCGGGGCGCACACGGGGGCCCGCACAGGGGCACGCACAGGGGCGCACACAGGCAGGGGCGCACACAGGCAGGGGCGCACACAGGCAGGGGCGCACACAGGCAGGGGCGCACACAGGGGCACGATAAGAAGGCGTGTCATCGGTATGCCACGGCCCAGCTGTTGCGCTTGCTCTCCTCCATCACGTCGCCCACCATCAGCCGGCAGTACGGGCTGCTCCACACTGCACGCACAGGGGCGCACACACACTTACATAGACACGGAGCGAAGGCCAGTAAGGGTTGCTGCAACGAGGATGTGGGGCACGTCATTGGTAAGCTAAGGCCCCATCTGTTGATGCCCCAGTGCCCACCTGATAAGCCATAGGACGGCAGGTTGCGCGCCTCGCACAGCGTCACGGACAATTCCCCCCACGAGCGAGTTGCTGGGCTCCATGCGCGTGCGCACCAGCCTTTTGAGTCGACTCAAACGCGTATGGGCAGCAGCCCTGGCGCCGCTGGCCTGATCCCCTCTGACAGCCCAGTCCCGCCGAGCCCTCACCTGATAAGCCATAGGACGGCAGGTTGCGCGCCTCGCACAGCGTGACCGAGAGCTCGCCCACGAACGAGTCGCTGGGCTCCATGCGCGTCGGCACCAGCCCTGACGCCGCCGACGACGGCCGCTGCCCCGCCAGCCCCGTGAACGTCTCCGATTTAAGCAGATCCAGTACCATGGCGGACGCCGCCGCCGCCATGTGCTGCTGGGGGTCCTCCCCGGCCGGCAGGAAGTCGAAGGTGATGTGACGTGGCAGCACGAGCAGACGTGGCAGGTCGACTGTCAGCAGCTTGGACAGGAAACTGGCGGCGGTGGCGGCGGGGAGAGGGGGGAGGGGGGAGGGGGGAGTGGGGAGACAAGGTGGCGGTGGTGTGGGTGTGCGGACACAAGGCATGCGTCGATAAGCACAGGGTACGGCTGAGCCTGATGAGAGGAAACGCAGAGAACACGAGAAAGGGATGGGGAGAGAGAGGGGCTAACCTGGAGAGGAACGGGATGGCTGCTCACGGCGTTGACACGACGGCGATCCCGAGACCCGTGAGACGCGCGGAGAGACGAATCCGCGAGGCGGGAGCAGGGGAAAAGAAGGGGGGCGGATCAGAAAAAAACGCAGGTGAGATAACGAAGAAAAAACCGAAGGAAAGCAGAAGAGCGGGAGTGGCCAAACGAACCGAAAGAGCACAACAGGCCGGTGAGAACGCGAGTAGAGGAGATTCGGCCAAGAATCAACGCGCAGCATTCAGCGGCAGCACTTACCAAACAGATTAACTATGCGGAAGGGCGCGAGCACGAGCTTGATGGTGGGGAGGCGCACGAAGGCGATGGAGAGCGTGCCCACGTACGGCTTGCGCGGCGTGAGGCGCAGCTTCACCCACAACTCGGCGTCCACGTCCAGGTCGTGCACGCCCACGGGCACTGAGAAGTCCACCCCCGCCACGCGCAGATGCAGCAGCAGCAGGCACCGCGCGTCGCCCGTGTAACGCAGCGCCACGTGGTACCTGGTGAGAGACGGATGACGTGGACAGAGAGGCGGGGAGAATCAGGAACGGGATGGGTGCCTGGTGAGTGGCGGAAGAGATGGGCGAGCACGGGGGGCGAAGAGGAGGAGGAAAGTTACTGACACGGACGCACACGAAATTGCAGGATTTGGAGGGATGGGCGTGGGGAGAAACTCACTGGAGGTCGTTGGCGCGTCGGCTGGCGCGGCGCTGCACGTTGCGCACGGCGAGCGGCTCGTAGTCGAGGCTGAACTCGGCGATCTCGACGCGCGTGACGACGGCGGGCAGCGGGAGCGTGTCGATAGCCGGCTGTAGCAGGCCGACGAGCCAGGCCTCGATGGAGCGGCGGTACACCTTCCACATCTTGTGCAGCACCATGTTCACCCACTCCACCGACTCCTTCTGCCCCCCCACCCCCACCTCCGCGCCGCCCATTGCGCTGCTGGGATCCGCGGCTGGCGGCACCTCGGGTAAGGCGGCGGGGCCGCGCTCCTTGGCCTCGGCGAGCACCTGCGGGAATCAGAGGAGGGGAGTGGCAGGGAGTTGTCTGGGTTTGTCGGCAGCATGCGAGAGTGCGGCAGCGGTGGAAGGGAATGGCACGGGATGGCTTCTGTCGGCATGGAGGCTGCGACGGCGAAATTCAATCACCCTAAGAGCGGGGATTGACTCACCTTGGACTCTTTTCTCTTCGTCAGCCATGCGATGCAGCCCGATGCCATGAGCGCGGTCGCCGCGCCAATCGTCGCGAACAGCATGTCGCGAAGCGGCCCTTCCACGTCGTGTATCGAGATCGGCAGAGCTCGCGCCACGTGGGACCGCGAGAGCGATCGCTTTCCGAGCAGCAGATCCCTGCCAGGATGGGCGGCGCCCTGCTGCGACCCCTCGCGTGCAGCGTCGTCAATAACTGAGGAATCGATAGTCGGCGGGCTCGCGGCGGGGATCGAGGCGTGGCTAGCGACGGACGGTCTAGATGAAGCGGAGGACGTGTGGAAGGCATGACCGCTGCACGATGGCGGCACGAGGAGCGGCCGACAGGCCTGGACTGTGCTGGAATGCTGCACATGCGTCTGGCGAAGAAGAGAGGGCTTCGCGGGAAGAAACGGCGTCGCTAATTTTGAACAAGACCGAGGCTCTGACGGCGCTGGAGCAGCATGTGACTGGTGCACGGCTCTGACCTTGGGCTGCTGCACGCGGGGAGTCGACAGGGAGGAAAGCAGGACATGGCTGGCTAGCGAGCTCTTGTCAGCCATGGCAGGGGCCTGAACTGGATGAGCCATGGCTACGAAAGTAGCTACCTGCCGAAGTCAGAGCCTCCGGAATCCTACAGCACAGAACTCGCTCGAATTCACCTGGAGAAGGAGTTCATGGATGTGGTGATCGATCTTGCTTTGCTGGTACTACTGCCAAGACTGGTACGTACAACAGCTGCGAACTCCAGAGAGCAGAGACGTGGATGTGAGGTGTAACAGCAAGAACCATCACTGTCAGCTTCACTCCCACCTTCACGGGCTCTTTCTCGCTCTCGCAACAACCTCCGTCCATGCCATCATCCCCGCTATTGCAAGTCGCAAACCCCCGTGACCCCGAATTTCTGCCACGCCCGCGGCTTGCCCTTTGCCCGGCCATGCCCCTCCACTCGTGTCACCATCGTCAGCAGCCAGTGCCCCTGTTCCCCCTCACCCCTCCCCCGATCCGAGCCCTCCATCTCCCCTGCCCTGACTCATCAAAGCATCACTCTGTCCCGCGCACATTCGAACTTCCCGCTTCCGTTCCGCGATGATCTCTGGGATGGGCGCTAGTTTCTGCTCCGCGGCGACATTGATGGGGGGAGGTGCTCCCCCACTTTGCCGACCGGAAAAGTTCCCCCGACAAGTTTCGCACGCGTCTGGGGTGACCGAAAATCGGCCACATGATCAATGGATCTGACCACAAGTTTCCTGGCGCCAGGCAGCAGCAGCATGGTGTTTTGCCAGTCCGGGCAGTTCTGCACTTTTTCACCAGCTTGGCCCCAACTCTGGGAAGCCCTCAGAGACCGACCACGATTGGCTGGGTGGGGGGAACTTGCATCCTTGCTATCATCGCTTTGCCCCTTGGGACCGTCCAATCACCACATCGCAATCTTCAGCCACGTCAGGGATACGGAAACCATGCTGGCGGCAACGGACTGGCTGCTGCATTTGCGCGCCATTGTGGTTAGCGCCTCCCCAATGGCGGGGTGATTCCATCGCGCCATGCCTGAATTCTAGGGGATTTGAAGTCCTTACTATCGTCTCTCCCGAGATATGGTGAGCAAAAACTGGAAGATTGTTTGGCGTATGATGTATACACACATCAATGTATTTGTCTCTTTACAATATCAAGACTCATCCATGAGCCTAGGACAAACTAGTCCAAGATGCATAACTACTTGTTGCTTCCCCAGTTCCTCATTCTATCTTTCCAAGTAGAGGGATAAATTTAACTCACTGTAAGTTGTTCGCATATGTAGGTTTAGTATGGACACATTAGCCGGAGTCAGCCCCACCACCGAAAGCTTGCTTATCGTAGTCAACGGCCTTAAGGTGTTCTACATCAGCCCACCGTAAGATGGTCCACTTGCCAGGAGGTGACACTCGAACAATGCCGATTGATGTGTTATACACCTTCTTCGCATGTCTGTTCCCTGATGCCTTCATATGAATGCAGTTGCATACTCCACCATGAGTCACAAGGAGCACTCTCTGGCCTGCAAATAGTCAGTAATATTAAGCATCACTTGCAATCATTGAAGCAAACAAACATGCGTAATGTGTTGTCTTCCTGCTCTTACCAAGATGCTCCTTTGCAATGTGATTGACAGCTGCTGTGACTCTCCCATACATGTCCTCCAGGCTCTCCCCCCCTCCCTTGTGTTCACACGAGTCAGACAGGGACAATACAAGGGGCACACCAGTGAGGAGGGGAAGAAAAGGCATGGTGAGGCCAGTCACAAGAGACCAACAAGTATGAGGAGGGCGGGCCACGAGGAGGAGGGGGAGAGAGGGGGAAGGGGGTAGGAGAAGCAGAGGCGGCAGAGCAGCAACATACAGGAATAGGCTGACTCCAGTCCTTTGACGCAAGAGTGAGGTACGCCTCAGGATGCTTCCGCAAAGCTTCGTCTCGAATGAGGCCCTCCAGAACCCCCAAGCTGCGTTCCCTGAGCCCCTTGAGTCTCAGTACCTCCTCCCCGCGCATTCCCACCGCATCCACCACCACTTCTGCTGTCTCCGCCGCCCGCCTGAGGTCCGATGAGTAGGCGGCTGCGAATGGCAGGTAGCCCGAGGCAAAACGAGCAGCGAGCTGCGAGAAGGGAGAGACGACGAGCCAGGGGGAGGGGGGTGTGAGGGGAAGCAGGGGATGCATGGGGTGGATGCATGGGGTGGATGCATGGGGTGGGATGCATGGGGGGAGATGCATGGGGGTGGGGGGGTGCACGGGGGGGGATGCATGGGGGGGATGCATGGGGTGGATGCATGGGGGGGATGCATAGGGGGGGATGCATAGGGGAGGATGCAAAGGGGGGGTGGCATAGGGGGGGATGCATAGGGGGGGGGGATGCAAAGGGCGGGATGCATAGGGGAGGATGCATAGGGGAGGATGCAAAGGGGGGGTGGCATAGGGGGGGATGCATAGGGCGTGATGCATATGGGGGGATGCATAGGGGGGGATGCATAGAGCGGGATGCATGAGGGGGGATGCATAGGGAGGGATGCAGAGGGTGTGAGTGTGGGTGGTCTTGGGCGTGGGTGCTCTTGGGCGTGGGTGCTCTTGGGCGTACTGGGTTTGCTATGCCAACTATACCGTTCAGCCTCTTTGTGCATACCCCATACCGTAAACCTAACACCCCCTACCAGGTGCAGGCCATGGCGAACCTCAACGGCATGACAAAGCGTGAGTGCCACATGCACACGACAAAGCAAAAGTGCCACGTCAATCAGTGTTTTGCACAACTAGTGTCCCAGTTGACAGAGGAGATTCTTGGTAAAGGAGAAGTCTTGGGTCCACCGCCCACCGCCCACCGCCCACCGCCCACCGCCCACCGCCCACCGCCCACCGCCCACCGCCCACCGCCCACCGCCCACCGCCCACCGCCCACCGCCCACCTCCCACCGCCCACCGCCCACCGCCCACCGCCCACCGCCCACCGCCCACCGCCCAAAGACTCTCTGCGGCGTCGCGCCCGGAATCGGGTATGCATGGGAGCACTAAAGAGGTTCTACTAGTGCCACAAAGCTAACGCCAGCGTCACATTTCGAGGCGTTTCAGGAAATGTCGCTGCCGGCATTGCTGTCAGTGACGTCCCGGTGGTCACGATCAAGCAGTGAGCGGAGAACGCAGAGACGGAAGCTGAGAGGTCAAGCTTCCCGAGCCGTAATGTGCTCCCGGCTCGATATCCATTGTGCTCGCAGCTGTGACACTGTAAAGTGTGTCTGCAGGTGGGCGTGCCGGCTATGGCTATGGGTGCTCAACCACTGATTGGTCAGTTGCACCACTCCCCACTGTCAGTCCCACCAATTCGCACGTCCCAAACTCTAGTGATAGAGTCAGATCATTTGCAACGGTGTGAGATCAAACGTGTATGTCAAAACATCTGATTCGGTAAAAATCATGCTTATTTGGATCAAGACTTTCCCTCCACTGCTCAACGCCCACCGCCCTCCGCCCACCGCCCTCCGCCCACCGCCGTCGTCCTGTGAGTGTGAGACAATATTTTGACACATCACCTTATCCCTTCTCCCAGCGCCTTTCACTCTCTCATTCCGCCTCCCTCCCCACTCCCTCTTCTACCCGCCATGGGCGGCGGGCGGTGGTCGCTAAATTCCCCCTAAACGTGTCGATATTCGAATACTGTGCTATTCACTTTCACCCTTACAGCCCACGGGCTAGGGCCCATTGCCCACTGCCCACCGCCCCATGCATCCCCCCCATGTATCCATGCACCCCCCCCATGCACCCCCACCCCACACATGCTGCTGGACACCTCTCCTTTGAATCCATCCTCCCCCATGCACCCATGCATAGGGGGGGTTGCATAAGGGGGGATGCATAGGGGGGGATGCAGAGGGTGTGAGTGTGGGTGCTCTTGGGCGTGGGTGCTCTTGGGCGTGGGTGCTCTTGGGCGTGGGTGCTCTTGGGCGTGGGTGCTCTTGGGCGTGGGTGCTCTTGGGCGTGGGTGCTCTTGAGCGTGGGTGCTCTTGGGCGTGGGTGCTCTTGAGCGTGGGTGCTCTTGGGCGTGGGTGCTCTTGGGCGTGGGTGCTCTTGGGCGTGGGTGCTCTTGGGCGTGGGTGCTCTTGGGCGTGGGTGCTCTTGGGCGTGGGTGCTCTTGAGCGTGGGTGCTCTTGGGCGTGGGTGCTCTTGAGCGTGGGTGCTCTTGGGCGTGGGTGCTCTTGAGCGTGGGTGCTCTTGGGCGTGGGTGCTCTTGGGCGTGGGTGCTCTTGGGCGTGGGTGCTCTTGAGCGTGGGTGCTCTTGGGCGTGGGTGCTCTTGGGCGTGGGTGCTCTTGGGCGTGGGTGCTCTTGGGCGTGGGTGCTCTTGGGCGTGGGTGCTCTTGGGCGTGGGTGCTCTTGAGCGTGGGTGCTCTTGGGCGTGGGTGCTCTTGAGCGTGGGTGCTCTTGGGCGTGGGTGCTCTTGGGCGTGGGTGCTCTTGGGCGTGGGTGCTCTTGGGCGTGGGTGCTCTTGGGCGTGGGTGCTCTTGAGCGTGGGTGCTCTTGGGCGTGGGTGCTCTTGGGCGTGGGTGCTCTTGGGCGTGGGTGCTCTTGGGCGTGGGTGCTCTTGGGCGTGGGTGCTCTTGGGCGTGGGTGCTCTTGAGCGTGGGTGCTCTTGGGCGTGGGTGCTCTTGAGCGTGGGTGCTCTTGAGCGTGGGTGCTCTTGGGCGTGGGTGCTCTTGGGCGTGGGTGCTCTTGGGCGTGGGTGCTCTTGGGCGTGGGTGCTCTTGGGCGTGGGTGCTCTTGGGCGTGGGTGCTCTTGGGCGTGGGTGCTCTTGGGCGTGGGTGCTCTTGGGCGTGGGTGCTCTTGGGCGTGGGTGCTCTTGGGCGTGGGTGCTCTTGGGCGTGGGTGCTCTTGGGCGTGGGTGCTCTTGGGCGTGGGTGCTCTTGGGCGTGGGTGCTCTTGAGCGTGGGTGCTCTTGGGCGTGGGTGCTCTTGAGCGTGGGTGCTCTTGGGCGTGGGTGCTCTTGGGCGTGGGTGCTCTTGGGCGTGGGTGCTCTTGGGCGTGGGTGCTCTTGGGCGTGGGTGCTCTTGGGCGTGGGTGCTCTTGGGCGTGGGTGCTCTTGGGCGTGGGTGCTCTTGGGCGTGGGTGCTCTTGGGCGTGGGTGCTCTTGGGCGTGGGTGCTCTTGGGCGTGGGTGCTCTTGGGCGTGGGTGCTCTTGAGCGTGGGTGCTCTTGGGCGTGGGTGCTCTTGAGCGTGGGTGCTCTTGGGCGTGGGTGCTCTTGGGCGTGGGTGCTCTTGGGCGTGGGTGCTGTTGGGCGTGGGTGCTGTTGGGCGTGGGTGCTCTTGAGCGTGGGTGCTCTTGGGCGTGGGTGCTCTTGGGCGTGGGTGCTCTTGGGCGTGGGTGCTCTTGGGCGTGGGTGCTCTTGGGCGTGGGTGCTCTTGGGCGTGGGTGCTCTTGGGCGTGGGTGCTCTTGAGCGTGGGTGCTCTTGGGCGTGGGTGCTCTTGAGCGTGGGTGCTCTTGGGCGTGGGTGCTCTTGGGCGTGGGTGCTCTTGGGCGTGGGTGCTCTTGGGCGTGGGTGCTGTTGGGCGTGGGTGCTGTTGGGCGTGGGTGCTCTTGAGCGTGGGTGCTCTTGGGCGTGGGTGCTCTTGAGCGTGGGTGCTCTTGGGCGTGGGTGCTCTTGGGCGTGGGTGCTCTTGGGCGTGGGTGCTCTTGAGCGTGGGTGCTCTTGGGCGTGGGTGCTCTTGGGCGTGGGTGCTCTTGAGCGTGGGTGCTCTTGGGCGTGGGTGCTCTTGGGCGTGGGTGCTCTTGGGCGTGGGTGCTCTTGGGCGTGGGTGCTCTTGAGCGTGGGTGCTCTTGGGCGTGGGTGCTCTTGAGCGTGGGTGCTCTTGGGCGTGGGTGCTCTTGGGCGTGGGTGCTCTTGAGCGTGGGTGCTCTTGGGCGTGGGTGCTCTTGAGCGTGGGTGCTCTTGAGCGTGGGTGCTCTTGAGCGTGGGTGCTCTTGGGCGTGGGTGCTCTTGGGCGTGGGTGCTCTTGGGCGTGGGTGCTCTTGGGCGTGGGTGCTCTTGGGCGTGGGTGCTCTTGAGCGTGGGTGCTCTTGGGCGTGGGTGCTCTTGAGCGTGGGTGCTCTTGAGCGTGGGTGCTCTTGGGCGTGGGTGCTCTTGGGCGTGGGTGCTCTTGGGCGTGGGTGCTCTTGGGCGTGGGTGCTCTTGGGCGTGGGTGCTCCTGGGCGTGGGTGCTCCTGGGCGTGGGTGCTCTTGAGCGTGGGTGCTCTTGGGCGTGGGTGCTCTTGGGCGTGGGTGCTCTTGAGCGTGGGTGCTCTTGGGCGTGGGTGCTCTTGGGCGTGGGTGCTCTTGGGCGTGGGTGCTCTTGAGCGTGGGTGCTCTTGAGCGTGGGTGCTCTTGGGCGTGGGTGCTCTTGGGCGTGGGTGCTCTTGGGCGTGGGTGCTCTTGGGCGTGGGTGCTCTTGAGCGTGGGTGCTCTTGAGCGTGGGTGCTCTTGAGCGTGGGTGCTCTTGGGCGTGGGTGGTTGGCGCGTCATACCGCTCTGGCCTGCGCTCTGCCCGCGTCGCTGAGGTCGGACTCTGTCTGCCCCTGCATGCGGTTCTCGCGATTCCACGTCGTCTCGCCGTGTCGCACGACCACGATCTCCGCCACGTCACGCGGAATGAACGGATTTGATTGGTAGCTCCACTTGGCTTGCGTGGCGCCTTCAGCTGTCGAGTCTTCGCGTGACGTGGTGCCAGCTGTGCTGGTTGCTGCCGTCGATCCCGGATCAACGGCCGCTTCTTGTCCCCCCGGCATTGTCACACTACAGGATGAAACGAGCGACGAGGCGGGGGGCGAACTGCGAGATGACACGAGGGATGAAACGCCAGTATGCGATGGTGGAACGGCAGTCGACGAAGTAACCGGTTTCGTGAAATGCGATGGCGAAGAGGAGAGGTGAGGAGGGCGGCGTGCCGCGCGGAGAGCGCTAGCGCGGAGAGACGCGAGAAAGAGCATGAGCAAGGTACGCAGCAAGGAGGAGCCAAAACGTGATGGGCGCTGCGCAGCTGACGGGTGGGGGTGCCGGGGAAACCACGGAAAGTGGGGGGGGGGGGGAGCAAATTTGCGTTCCCGTTAAGAAGAACCTCGGATTCGGCAAAGTGCGAGCATCGAACATAAACGTACACCACAACTTTCCAATTCGACCGACAGATTCGTGCGTCGCGGAGCTGCTGCTATTCGACCGACAAATTCAGCGCGCTGTGAGACGCTTGCCCTGAATCCCAGCCTGGGTCTTCCCCTTGATTCTTCCTAATCTCCCGCTTCCGTTTGTCCCGCCTATGTTTCGTCTTCAGCGATCATCGCAACCTGTCGCACGTCGCAGCGCAGATCGTCAGAATCTCGTACGCCACGCCTGAGAGCTATAACTCAGTTCGCCGTCGTAGCCGTGCGACGGGGGTGCACACCACATGGCTCACCTGCTGCTCAGGCGCGCGTCTGCTACCACCGCCGCGGCCGCACGGCGGGACGACGACTCCGATCACTCCTCAGGCCAGGTGAATGCCCTCCCCCTCGACGCGCCTCCTCGTCGCCGTATCGCCTGCATCGCTTGGGCTGCTAACCCGTTCGGCTTGGCTTTATCCTAACGTCTGGACTAGATTGCGTTACTTGTGTTTTACCCTTATCGCACCTCTCTTCGACTTTGGTTCGGCTCCGTGCTGCCTCGCACCGTGTGTCATCGCTTTGAACCGCACCGTGTGCATTTGCATCTCTTTGAACCGCACTGAACTGCAGATGGAGCACCTCCAGCGCTACCAAGAGGAGCAGGTGAGCCAGCTCCGCTATTGGTCGCCTGCGCCCGCCAGAGCTGACGCTTCGCAACCAGATTCGCTCACTGCTGACGTGGACGATCTGCTCGAAGTGGCAGCGGCAATAAGACAGGTGGATTCGGATAAGAGCCTGGCCAGCCAGGTCAGCGACACGGAGAGCCAGCGTGTGCAGCCAATGCTTGGGGGACACGTGGCAGCAGCAACAGCGGTGCAAGAGATGAAGAGGGGGGTGGATGGGGAGCGGAGTGCAGGGAACAGTGAGAGGGGAGGGGCGGCGGGGAAGGGTAGCAGAGGGGGAGAGACGGTTAGTGCTGGAAAGAGGGGAGGGGCGGTGGGAGCAGCAGCAGCGACTGCTGCTGCAACTGAAGCCTCAGCGGCGCTCATTCGCCCTCGAGGTCTGTACGCTGTTGGCCAATCAGGACGCAGCTTGGGCAGGGGGAGGCGCCATGTGAGGCGGGATGGGCAGCAGCTGCTCCGGGCGGCAGGGGGAGGCGGAGGGGAGGATGGGGGGGAAGGGGGAGGGGGAGGGGGGGTGAGGGCAGTGGATAGTGTGAGTCTGCTGCACCAGCAGCAGCCGTCGCTGCCAGAGTGTGTGTCAGAGGACCACCTCCGCCGCTTTGGCAGCATCACTCGCTCCCTCTCTGTATCCTCCTCCTCCTCCACCCCTACCGCCACTGCGGCTGCTGCTGCCGCAGCTGCTGCTGCTGCGACCTTCAACGCCAAAGCCTCCCCAACCTTCCCCTCCCAAACCGCAGGCTCAGGTTTGGCCCAAGCCTTTGTGCACGGGGCTGGGAGGGAGGTGCGGAGCGAGTGTGGGCGTGTGGGGAGCGAGGGGGCTGCTTCCCCTGGTGGCTCTGCCACGGGGTCAGCACACACTGCCGCCACGTCAGCATGGGAAAGCTGCTCCGATGTGTCAGCAGGGGCCTTGGAAGGCATTCGGGAGGGTGAGGGGATGAGCTGGAGGAGTGAGAGTGAGTGGGGGGGGAATAGCATGAGGACTGCGAGTGAGGGGATGGGAACGCACGTGAGGAGTGTGAGTGAGGGAGTGGGCATGGGAGTGGGGCTTGGGAGTGTGTTGGGGAGGGCGCGTCAGGTGTCAAGTCAGGTGGAGGGGAGGTGGGGGTCGGAGGGGGGGTATGTGACGCGGAGGGAGATGCATGCGGTGATGATGGGCATGGCTCACCTGCAGCAGCGGGTGGATCACCTTCTCTCACACGTGCAGCAGCAGCAGCAGCAAGCAGGGCGAGATAACCAGCTGCATTCAGGGGCGGCAGCAGGCAGGAGCATGGAGCAGGGAGCCCAGGTGCAGCAGCAGCAGCAGCAGCAGCAGCAGCAGCAGCAGCAGCAGCAAGGCCACGAGGCATCACGAGTTCAAACCCAGGGCCGGCTGAATGATCAGCAGGGCGGGGGACGCAAGGAGGGGCTGCTGCTGCCGCTGCCTGCCATCCTGCTGCTGTCGTGCCTAGTGGCGCTCACCCACGCCCTGTGGTCCACATGCAAGTGGGGCGTGGGGCTGGTGTGGCCGCTGTCTTTGCTGCTGCCTCTCATGGACAGCATTGAGCGCCACTGCCGCCTGCACTGCCACGTGTTGACGCACGGGTCTGACTGAGCACTGCTGCCAGGTGCTGTGTGCTGCTGTAGTGAATGGCTCTGATTTGAGGTGAAGGTTTGTCTGCTGCGCACAGTGTGCATGGGATCATGGGATTGGTCGATAGTGGTCAGCTGCTGCTCATCTGTAAGTTGCTTTTCTCATCTGTTGCTTGTCGACGACAAATTTTGTTATAAGAACTGTACTGGCACAAGTTTATACTACGACTGGGTGCGACATTAGTGTGTTGTTAGTGCCTCACGGACAAGACAAACGTGCATCAGAAAAGAGGGTGTGATGCATGAGGTGTACACCAGGTGTAGGTACCACCACAAGAATTTGTGACTCCTTGCTGCTGCCATTGCCTAAGTGCATTTACCTGTGCTCTGGACTCTCACCACAGGGGGCCGTGGAGGCCTCTTCCTTTCCTTTCTACCTCTGCCTTTCAGCAGTGCTTTCATCTTGGAAGCGAAGCCCTTAGCCGCTTGCTTCAGCGCGGCAGGGGGAGGGGAGGCAGGCAGCGGGCGCAGGAAACGAGGGGCAGCAGGTGGAGGAGAGGAGGGGAGCTGTGGGTACGGGAGGGCGAGCTGGCAGGCGCCAGAGGTGAGGTCCCAGTTCTGCTGGATGAGGAACTTGGAGCCGTTGACCCCCACCAGGTTGTACCTGGCTCCTGAAGGGTCCGTGAGAATGGGAGAGAACCTGTGAGAAGAAGGGCGGGGGAGGGACAGGACACGAGGGAGGGGAGGGAAGGAGTGAGAGGCGGCAGGATGTGGGGGGAACACATCCCTGCGAACCAAGTGGGGACTACTGTAGGTCGCAGGAGACAGGAATACTGAGGCGGCCCAGAACTCAATTCTACTGTAGCAACTCACATCCACGAGCACTTGTCGGCGTTCTCCTCGCCGCCTCCGTCGAACCACGTGGACACAAAGGGGCTGGAGGCGGCCTCTGCGAGCTCGTGGGCGAAGACGGACAGCAGCCCGTCCATGCCGGGGTCGCCCGTGGGGGCAGCAGCAGGGTTGTCTCTGATGCCCGCCGCTATGCACGCTGTGGGGCACTGCACCAGGGGGGGGGAAGGGACGTGTGTGCGGAGCGAAGGGCGTTTGCAAGGGGGCTGAGGTAGTGGGGAGGGAGGGGGAGAGGAGGCGAGTCGAGATGAGCTTATGTACAGTGTTAGAAAGTCTTGTGTAGGGATTGGGCGCCCGGGCGGAGCAGCCCAACAGCTACGAGGCATTCAGCTCAGTCCATTCGGCTCCTAACGGACGTGCTCTCCACAGTCGGCTCAACCTTGCCCCGCATCTCACCTGTTGGTCCGCCTTGCCAGTCCACGCGATTATGAACGTGCCGAGCCCAGGCGCGGACCCTAAGAAGTGCCACCCGCAGAACCCCAGCTTTCAGACGCCTCAGAACGTGCCAGCTCACCTGTTGATCAGCCTTGCCCGCCCACGCAGTTATGAACGTGCCGAGCCCAGGCGCGGACCCAAAGAAGTGCCACCCGCAGAAGCCCACGCAGAAGCGGTCTGCCTGAGGGCTCTCGCTGCCCGCCTGCTCCACACTCGCGTCTGACAGCACGAAGTACACTGCATCCCCGTCATAAGGCAGCCGCCCGCTCGTGATGGCGTCGGCGATTAGCGCGGTGACGTCAGCGTCGTAGAGCGTGGTCCCTCGGGAGTATCCCGCGTCGTCCGTCTCGCCGCCCCACGTGACGGCGTCCGTCACCCTGCGCCGCGCCTCGTCGTGGTACAGCCGGTTCACGTTCCACCACAGGGACACTGGAGATTCGGGGGGGGCGGGGGGAGGGAGGAGGAGGGGGAGGAGGGGGAAAGGATGGGGGGAAGGATGGGGGGGATACTGGATTGAGGGTATGTGGAGCGAGGGGCGAGTCTGTTCCGCGCATTCCTTGAAACTTGCGCGGCTTTTCGAGGGGATTCTCAGGGCGCTGTATGGAACCCACCGGTGACGGCGGTCTCCGCGTTGGGGCTGAGCGACGCGACGAAGGAGCGAACGGTGCGCTTCTGGGCGTCGGAGAACGCGCCGTACCACAGCACGAACACGCGGATCGGTTTGTGCAGCACGCCGCACCGCCCGTCCGTGCACCAGTGCGGCGAAATGCCAAATGGCGGGCCGCCATTGGCTGCCGTTGATACTAACTCTGCTGCTCCTGCTGCTGCTGGCGCGCGTTGCCGTGCCACGGGGGCTTTCCTGAAAGGCTTTAGATCCGCTAATCGAGCGCCTAATGAAGCGCCGATAGTGTCTGCTACGCCCCGCCTTCTTCCTCGAGCCTCTCTTGCCACCCGCCTTCTACCCGCCGCTTTCTCGTCTGCGTGATTCTCGCCCCCTACGTGTCTCCCCGCCTTCGAGTAGTCTCCATGTTTCTCGTCGTCTGCCCCATCGTCACGCAGACCGCGAATGCGCGTCGGATGAAGCTTGCCTGGCGGGCTGCCCGGACGCGCGGGCAGAAATTCCTGGACTGCCTTTGAAGCGTTGCTGTCGGCACGCGCTGCCAGTAAGTGGCAGCAGTCCGGCAGCAGGAGACACAGCACTGTGCACAGGAAGACGCGCGACATCCCGCTCATTTGCCCTTATTCTACGTGTATGTTACGAGAACTGGCCTATGGCGCATGAGAGTGGTTCGAAATTGATGCAAGAACGGCAATGGTGAATTATGGCCACCAGACCAGACCAAACCAGAAGGGTTTGATAATCTTGGCGTGATTTCTGTCGGTCGCATCGCGGCCAATTTCATCCATCGAACCGCTTGGGTGTGGGGGGAGAGTTGTCCCCGCTGGAGCCGTTAGAAATTTCTGTAATTATGCGCACATCCATCGTAGCAATTCTCTTTGTAAGGATCATACAAAAACAATTGTCATCCACATCAACCGCATGTGGAGGGCCATGAAACATTCTCTCCCATTTAACAACTTTTTTATAGAACGATACAAAACAATATGTACAAGGACGAGGTTACTTATCCCCCTGGATTAAATATCTTGTTTATTAGGTCAGCGAAGCTGTTTTTAGGTGGTGTTTTTTTAGGAGGTGGTGCTCGTTTCGGAGGGGGCGATGGGGGGGGACGAGGTGGAGGAGGGGGTGAAGGTGGAGGAGACGGTGGAGGCGGTGATGGTGGGGGGGAAGGGGGGGGAGATGGTGGGGGTGGCGACGGTGGGGGGGAAGGGGGAGGGGAGGGGGGTGGGGGAGGGCTAGGGGGTGATGGCGGCGGTGGAGGTGCAGGGGGTGGTGGGGGAGGTGAGTATGGGATGGTGAGCTGGCAGGCGCCAGTCACAAGGTCCCAGTTCTGCTGGATGAGGAACCTGGTGCCGTTCACCCCCACCAGGTTGTACTTGGTGCCAGAGGTGTCCAGGACTAGGGGAGAGAATCTGCAGGGTGGAAGCAGACAGGGCAGGAGGGAGAGCACAGCGTTACTGGACCAGTGGAGAGTGAAAGTGTCACTGTGGGTGCTTGTTGGTGGAAAATGACGAAGTTAAAGCCTCAAGGCAGGAGAGGGAAGGGTGGCAGGTGGCTGTGTGGCAGTGTGGCAGAGGGGGCTTACTTCCAGGCGCACTTGTCGGCGTTCTCATAGCCATCCCCGTCGAACCACGTGGAGATGAAGGGGCTGGACGCCGCTTCTGCGAGCTCGTGGGCGAAGACGGACACGAGGCCGTCCATGCCCTGGTCGCCCGTGGGGGCCAGAGAGGGCGACGCGCGGATGTCACTGGGAATGCAGGACGTGGGGCACTGCACAGGCGTGAAGGAAAGTCAGTGCCTTTAGTGTGGAGTGAGGATTGGTAGTGAAGCAAGGTGTGCTTGAAAGCTTGAAACTCAGGGTACTCAAGGAGTTGAGCTCACGAGCAGGTTTGCCTTGCCAACCCAGGAGTAGATGTAGTCGCCATACATGTCGGCCCAGGCGTGGTAGTGCCACCCGCAGAAGTGCGTGCAGAACTTCTCAGACGTGCTCAGGTTGCCCCACTTCTGCAGCCGCAGAGAAAGAAGGGTGGGGAAGGGGAGAATGCCATCGGGTTCAATGATGCTGCCTCGCAAGCTGGAATTGAAGTACTACTCGCACGGCTCTGCATCCCACAGCACCCTATCTCACCGCACCTGTGTGACGAGGTCGTCCGAGAGGAGGAAGTAGACGGCATTGGGGTCGTGGGGAAGGCGCTTGCTGCTGATGGCGGACCCCAGCAGGCCCTCCACGTGGGTCGTCAGCAGCACCTTGCCCAGGCTGTACGCTCGGTCCTCCACCTCGCCGCCCCACGTTACGGATGGCGATATGTAGTTGCCGTCCCGGTCGTAGTAGAGGCGGTTGATGTTCCACCAAAATGGGACTGAAATGGGCGAATGGGATGGGCATGACAGACCACAGCGAATGACACAGGTGATGATTGAAGGGAATGCCACATTTAATATACAAGGAAAAACCCCTCTAGCAACAGTATATCATGGTTGCATGTTTTCATATCAAAGAACGTTGAGAAATATTGATTAGTAATTTAGGACAGCTCAGGGGTGTACCAATTGGCGAAAAGGGAAAGATGGAAGATGGAAGATGGTTGACAATCTACTCGTATCTTGAAATTGGAATTTAGATCGGGTGACGCACATTATGATGCAAGAATGTGGGGGGATTTTGGTTAGTAGGGTTGCAGATTAGGTCTGGCAAACGAAACACACGGCGCATTCTACGGCGACACCTTGAGAATGCGCGCTTCCACTAGATCCTCTCCGCGCCGCTACCCACCGGTGACAGCGGAGTCCGCGTTGGGGCTGAGCGACGCGACGAAGGAGCGAACGGTGCGCTTCTGGGCGTCGGAGAAGGCGCCGTACCACAGCACGAACACGCGGATCGGTTTGTGCAACACGCCGCACCGCCGATCCCAGCACATCGACCCCCACCGCGGGTAGATCCCGATGGGCTCTGCGCCGCCCAGGGTCGTCGCTCGTCCCGTCGTCGCCGCGGCGCGTTGACCTTCCCTGGGGTGGCGAAGGGGGGACGTAATACGACAGGACTGTAGAGACGGTTATTATAACGAAGGAAACGGAGCCTCTTTGAAGCGAAACGAACCATTCCAGCGAACGCCGCTCGACTCGGAGTCACGCGCAATTCATTTCGCATTTCAAGGAAACCACACTGCAGCAATCAGTACCGTAAGGACGCACCATGTGCTGATTGGCGTGATTCCGGGCCGACGAGCAGCGGCATTCAGATGTCTCGCGCCAGCCGGCGGCAGCGCGGATGCTCGTCGCGCCACGAAAGGGGCGGTGCTCGGGGGAGCTGGCGGGTGTGCGGGGAGCGGCGTCCGCCCTTGCGACCACAGGTGCTGCCGCAAGGAGCGGGACGCGGCACGGACTGTGCTAGGAGGCTTGGCGAGCCTACTACGAGTCAAAACAGTAGTAAGGCCGTCGCGAGCCGTGACTTGTAACACTTCTCTGAGCAGAATTGCTAGCACGCCCGCCGCGGTCACGGCTAGCGAAAAAAGAAAATGGGACCTGGCTTTCCGTTGACCTATAGCGGCATGATTGCGACGCAAATTGCGGCATCCGTTTGATCCCATTGTGAGCAATCAGGATAATTTTCAGGAAGCGCCGGTGGTAGGTGCTGTCACTGAAGAGTTCATGCCATGACGATAGGAGTCCATTGAAGATTGAAGATTGAAGATTGAAGATTTTCCGCGAAATTCGGGAAGTCCGCCGACCGAGAGAGCTAGACGCGGATGGAAGATCGATAACTTCTGGAACGCAGTAAACGAGACGAATAGCACGTGATTCCGCGAAATGAGGCCTTGTGGTGACCGAAGGGGACATCGAGAGCAGGCACACTTAGTCGGATAACTGTACAGTACGCGGTTTTCGTTCATCACGCACCACCAGAGGCATTGTGCTAAACGAGAGAGGCGAGAGGTCATGGTCCTCCTGACCTGAGTTCACGTCCTTACTGATCATAAATGCCACTTAGTCTTGTTTGGTCAGAATTCGTGCAGGTTTAGGTTGGAGGACAATGGAAGTCTCCATGGGCGAACATGCTGTGCTGCTTGGCTTGTTCCTCCTCGACTCTCCTTCCTCTTCCTCTTACTGTGCGCTTCTCGCCGCCAAAATACGCCTCAGCCAAACTTTCGCCGCGAGATGACATCCCCTTCTTTGACTGCCCGTGGAGTTTTTGCTGGTTGCTCGATCACTGCATCTTGTTCGTCCTTCCGAAATCCAGCGGCAAGGATGCATGGTGGCAGCCGCCTTATCAGCACGAATTCTGCGCAACGTGCTCGCGACAGCGGCGATCTTGCTGCGAAACATTTATGTTTTCTGAAATGTAACATTCAACCAGCTGACTGACTCCTAAACCCACGATAATCCACCTGGCAAATCTCGTTCCCCCAACCAGACCACCCGCCTTATCTCTGGTGGTCAGATAGGTGACAAAGCATATCGCGATCCGCCAACCCCATGTAATCCCCCTCATGAAAATTCGCGCATGTACAGATCAGAACACAGCACGCAGGCGTCGTGATGAAGTGCCTCGCCGAAGCTCCCTCAAGTCTCGGAGTCCGATTGGTCAATGTTTGGCTGTATGAGGTTTGTGAACCCGAACCGAATATACAATATTCACACAGCTGTGCTGTGATGTACACCCAGTTATTCAATTCAAGAACACGCAATTAAAGAAATTTTTTGGTACATTCAACTTAGTTTTGGGAACCAATCCCATAGCTAGAGGTGGCGTGCGAAATCAACCGACCACAGCGTCGCTAACACTCACATCGCAGAAACACGCATGTGACGAACCAGACACCATCTTTCCCGCCAATAGGCCTGGACCTCATGTGACGTGGCGAGCTCATTTCTGAGGGAATCGCCGAGGACGGTGGCTTCGCTGACTGGTCAAGGGGCTCTAAGGATGAGACCCCCTTGCCGAGACCAGAAGAATGGGTGCACTTTCAACAAAGCGGCTACTTGCCCCTAAAATAGATTTGTTTCAAGCTTACAGTAGAGCTTCCCAAGTTACTGGAATGAACACGCGACTGAAAATTGGGCGTACAGGCGAAATTGCGTGATGATGTCGACTATGAAGACGGAGTGGCGCGATATTTAATTGGTGGGGTGATTAATATGTTTCTCCTGCGAGTTCCAGGGAAACGACGAATGAGCGAAACTGGGCCAACGTGATAATAAAGCGATACAGTCACTCGGCACAGAAGACAATCACACCTGTCGTTTCAAAACTTGTGACATGATCGAATATCTGGGTGTACCCTCAGTCCAGCCCAGCCTGCATCTTCTATCAATTCTTGGGTTTCGGGTGATTTTGTGGGCAGACGAACCAGCCCATTTTTGTCTGGGAGGATGATGGCTCCTTTCTGAACCACTCAGTCACTGGCTCGGATGTCAGGTGGTCACAGCAGAGCCACAGTGCGTTGTCGCGGTGCTCCAAGCGAGATTTGCGAAGTGATGGGCTGGAATGCACAGGAGTATGGTCTCGATTCTTGACCCTCGAGTCGAGCCTGACCACAGGAATTCGCGCTTGATTTCGATTTTTTTCTGCCAAACCTAGAGCCAACGGTGACCACGCGAAGTGGAGGCCTAACTGCCACTCATGTCCCTGTGGAGCCATGACTGCCCTAGCTAGCCACTTGCACTTACTCCCAGAATGATCCCGGCTCTGGGGATGCGCTGCTGCTCCTTGCACAGGCCGCCTTGCCCCAACGCGAAGCGAAGCAGTCGGCTCGGCACTTGCCGCCAGTGCAATGGTGAAGTCCATCCATGGCGGCGAGCGAGGCTTACTACAGCGAGACTACTAGAGCTAGCTTTCTTGGACGACGAGAGCGCGGGTCACTGAATATCGCCCTCAACTGGGCGTCACGATGACGCGTAGTTGCCGGAGAGACACCCACTACGGCCGCATTGCCCTCGCGAGAGGCCTTTCGTTTGGCGCCGGTAGACTTATTTTAAGTACTAGTAGCCTGCTACTGCTGCTTACTACCCTCGTCGGCGTCACTTCTGGAAGCGACTATCGCGCGGCGGGTTCCCGCCCGACGTACTACCCGGTCTTCTCTCGTAGCTTGCTGTCGTCGTCGAATCGCGACGGAATTCGCAGCGCAGGCTTGCCAGCCGTACGGTCGTCGTCAGATGACTCGCGAGATGACACGGCAGATGACACGCTCGACGACACGCTGGATGCGGTGGAGGAGAGCGCGAACGCGCGGATGGCTGTGTGGGTGGAGAGCGGCGGCGGGGGGACGGGCGGGGATGGGAGGAAGGGGAAGCGGGGGAAGGTGAAGTGGCTGCGACGAGGCATGGCTGCCGCTGCTAGTGGCGAGACGCGAGTAGTAGAAGCAGGAACCAGCGGCAGTGCAAGCAGCACTGGCGACAGCAGCAATGCCGCCGAAGGGCCATCACAGCAGCAGCAGCAGCAGCAGCAGCAGCCACCGCAACCCCAGCAGCGGCAGCAGAAGGGGGCCATCGCAGCCAAGAAGCCACCTCGACGCGGCAGCGCGGCCGGCCCTGTGGGTATCTCGCCGCATTGGGGCGGCAAGCGCAAGGCGAAGAAGTGCGGGCGGCGCTGCGGCGTGCTGCACCGCCCCATCGCCGTGTACCTCGTGTGGTACGGCGCGTTCTCCGCCGCGCAGAAGGCGCTCGTGCGCGCCTTCGTCGCGTCCCTCAGCCCCTCCGCGGACGCCGCTGTCACCAGTGAGTGCGGGATGGCGCGAGGGGGATGCGGCGAGTGGGGGATGCGGCGAGTGGGGGATGCGGCGAGTGGGGGATGCCGCGAGTGGGGGATGCCGCGAGTGGGGGATGCGGCGAGTGGGGGATGCGGCGAGTGGGGGATGCCGCGAGTGGGGGATGCCGCGAGTGGGGGATGCGCTGACCGGGGGGGGTGAGGAGACGAGGGGGGCTAGTGTGGGTGCGGGGAGTGGGTGTGGGGAGTGGGTGTGGGAAGAAGGTGGGGTGTCGTAGCAGGTTGGTGCGTGCGCGAGCTGCTGTGGATGGGTGGCCGTCGCGAGTGATGGGTCGGTCCGCTGCGACCTTGCCCTGAACTCTGTTCTTCTCTGCTCCTAATTGCGCACCTCCTCCCCCCCATCCCCCGCAACCCCCCCATGGTTTCCCCCGCTTCCCCCTCTTAGTGCCCCTATGGTGGAACATCAACCGGCTCTACTACGACCGCAATCTCAACTACATTTCAGGGAATGTGACTGTAGGGGGGGAGGTGGAGGACGCGGGGTATTCCCTGGGGACCATTCTCAAGGACTCCGGTGTGGACACGCTCATCCGTAACGCGATTACCAGCGGCCAACTGCCCTTTGACCAAAATGGAGTGTACTTCGTGCTCTCAGACGAAACCGTGCAGCAGGTGAGGGTGGGAGAGAGGGCGGGGGTGCGGGCGGGGGTGAGGGCGGGGGAGAGGGCGGGGGAGAGGACGGGGGTTGAGGGTGGCAGTGAGGAGGGAGGAGGGATACATTACCATGCATTCCATACCGTCAAGCCCATGCTGTCAAGCCCGTGCCGTCAAGCCCATGCCGTCAAGCCCGTGCCGTCAAGCCCATGCCGTCAAGCCCATGCCGTCAAGCCCATGCCGTCAAGCCCCTGCCGTCAAGCCCCTGCCGTCAAGCCCGTGCCGTCAAGCCCGTGCCGTCAAGCCCGTGCCGTCAAGCCCATGCCGTCAAGCCCGTGCCGTCAAGCCCGTGCCGTCAAGCCCGTGCCGTCAAGCCCATGCCTTCAAGCCCGTGCCGTCAAGCCCGTGCCGTCAAGCCCGTGCTGTCAAGCCCATGCCGTCAAGCCCATGCCGTCAAGCCCATGCCGTCAAGCCCATGCCGTCATGCCCATGCCGTCAAGCCCATGCCGTCAAGCCCATGCCGTCAAGCCCATGTTGCGTGGTTGAGATTCGACGAGCTGCTGATGTGCGAAAGGATCGCTGCGTGTGTGACCATGACCCGGATCGGCACCCCTTGTATCCCTCCTCCCCACCCCCTCTGCAGGTGTCAGACGGGCTGGCCTTCTGCTCGGACTACTGCGGCTGGCACTTTTACACCCACGTGCCAAAGCAAGGCCTGCTCGTGTCCTCCTGGGTTGGCAACGCTGGCAAGAAGGTCAGCAGCAGCTTCCCTTATCCCATATCGCGTATCCCCCTCTCTCCGCCTCTTTCTCTTCTTTTCCATCACCCAAGCCCTATGCTCATTCATCTCCCGCGTCTTCCCCCCTGCTTGAATGCTTTCTGCTTACTGTGTTTCTTCCCCTGCTCCTCCCCTCCTCCCCTCCCCCCCGTGTCGCCAGTGTCGTTCGAGCTGCATCACGTCGCAGCTGTTCAGCTGCCCCGGCTGTTCTCCCAACAATGATGTCGGCATGGACGGGCTGCTGTCGGTGTTCGCCCACGAGCTTGCAGAGGCCACCTCTGACCCCTTCATGTCCTCGTGGTTCGACAATGATGGAGAGGAGAACGCTGACAAGTGCTCCTGGCAGTAAGCACTGCTGTTGCCTCACACTCCTCTTCCCCTTCGCATTCCTAGCTCCTAGCCCGCTGATTGCTTTTCTGTAGCTGCTGCCTGACTCTCTCCAGCCCAATTCCCCCTTCCTCGTCTGCACGCGCTGCTCTGGGCAGGTACGGAGACATGCTGTTTGACTCTCTAGACGGTCCCTTCTACAACCTGGTGGGGGTAGACAGCTACAAATTTCTCATTCAGCAGAACTGGGACCTCACCAAAGGGACCTGCGCCACCACAGTGCCGTACGCAGCCACTGCTCCCAGGCCGTCGCCTCCCCAGCAAGGCAACCGTGGTGGCCTTGGCGGATTTATAGGAAGAATAATTGGTGGGAAGCGTGGATGAGAGTGGTGCAGTGGGAAGGTTAGCTCTGGGTAGATTGTCACAAGCAATGCTACCACACCTGCATTGTTCACTTGTTTTTCCCCCCTCTAGGGGATGAAGATGGTTACCATTTACACCAGTGAAATCAGATGCTCCCGCCTGATAGTCAACAGGAGAACACCTTGTACACTTCTGTGCAAAAGAACACAACCTAAATAGGCTGTGCAAAAGTAAAATAGCAAGGAAATGAGTACAGAACTACCAGTGTTCAAATCAAACGGCCTAAACATTGTAGAGCTTCTCGATCTCCTTCTCCTCGTTCTCCTCCTTGGCGCGGCCATAGACGTCGATGCTGAGATCCTGCTTGATGTTGTCAGAGTCGTCCACCACGTTCTCCATGTTAAGCACGCGCTTGTCCTCCACCGAGAAGTTGAAGTCCGACCGCACCGTGCCCAATGGCACCAGGTTCCTGCCACGCAGCACAGACGCCATGGTTGGGGTGGGAATGAAGGAGAATGATTAATTGAGTTCGGAGAGAGGCCTCACAGGCCATGCTGGGACATTCAGAAGGGGATGTAGCTATTTGGGCATGACCGGGTAATTGAGGCTGAGTCTTTAGAAGGAAGGGGATATAGGATTTTTGAAGAGCAGCGAGAAGGGTGGTGAGGAAATGTGAGGGACAGGAAAGGGCTGTAGGGCGATACAGGATGAAGCTCTCATAAAAAAGGGAGAAGGGATTTAAAGCAGTGATGATGGCCGTTAGTTTAGACAGGTTCAGACCTAGAAACGGTGTACCCTAGATTAGGACCAATTGACCACTTTACGACATCGACACACGTAACGTTGCTTAACATCCCTGGATTTGTCTCCTTCGCCCACCAGTTCGTTTCAAGGCCTATAAAACGGGAACGATACTCGGCTAAGTGGCATTCGGAAGGCCTTCAAGAAATCTCGGCTTAATTGCACCTGACGAATTATCTACGACCATATACCATACCGGACTCATGAAGAGAAAGGACGTCTAGCATTCAGTGTGGAACTTTGGGAAAACTCACAGGAGGTGCTCCTGCGGGTGTTGCCTCTTCCACGTCCTCGACGCGCACTTTGTCCGGAAGTCGAAGTCCTCCGCGAAGACGCCGTTTTGAAACTCAGCCGGCAGCAGCGAGGCGTCCTGCTTCAGCACCACCCCGAGCGTCGTGGCGGTCACGTGCGTGTAACATGTAACACCGCCGTTATCCATGCACTCCAGCGCGCCGGCGGGAATTGCCTCGATGACGAACTTGTCCTGCAGCTTCCCGGATTCGTCCTTCTGGAAGCAATGCGCGAGGCCGACCGTGATGAAGTCGTCGTCGTTCCAGTCGGGGTTCTCGCCCGTCAGGTTCGCAACCACGACGCCGCGGGAAGAGGCGGAGACGGCGGCGCGGACTGAATGCTTGGCGCTGGCGCGGAAGGCGACTCTGGAGGCCGATCCTTGGCAGAAGGCGGAACTTCTGAAGGACACGGATGGGCACGACGCGGCATCCTTGGAATCAACGGGAGCCGCGCATGGCGCTGCCAGGCCTGAAACAGCGATCTGGCTGGATAGCACACTGGAAGCCATCTCGTGGAGGACTGTACAAGCTACTGGTAATTCCTCAGCACAGTGTTTCCAGAGGAATAGCTTGCAGTGACTTGATCACACAAGAGACGTCTTGACAGAGTGTCCGTGACGAAGTGATAACAGTTGATTGAAAGAGATGCTGAAATGGTATGAGTGCGAGGGAGAAGTCTTGGGAGTGTCCGCCATACCATTGGCGCAATTCCTGAGGGCTTCTTGCTCGGGTATCGCTGGGTCGGTGACTCGCTGCCAGATCAGTGGCTGAGTGCGTGCATTGCGCCCCGAAAGCCCCGAGGAGGGGGACCAAACTACTGGAAGTAAATCCGCCTGCCGAATGAAAGAGGAGCACGGCGCGCCTCATCCTCGTCCACGTCAGCTTCTGGGGAGTCACTTTTCGGAATGGCCTGCCACATCCACACCACTTCGCATTCTCGTTATTATGCAGCTCTTTATTTTGTGAAACTAACACGAGAAACATTTTCCGTAGCCGATTGCGAGGAACATAGGATGCTTTAAGATTTAGCGAACTAACACTAAATTCTGCCTGATCTAAGTGCCTCTACGCTGTCAGCAAAACCCACTACCTGGCCACCCTAGCCGACCAGTCAACTTAGGGATTTCCGCATTCACGAGGCTGGGATTTGCGCGTCTCCGCTAGTGTTAGCAAAGCGATTTGTCGTGATTTGTAACCGCCGTACTTCTGGTGGCCATGGCGGAGCCAATGGCGATGGAAGTGGAGCCAGCTTCCGCTGACTCGAAGCCCGTACCTCGCCCCTTGGCATTCAACGGTAACCACGCTAGATGGCTCTCGCAGGAGTAGTGGATTATTGAAGTTCTGTGCGTTTTTTCATTTCATTTTGAAGAAATTCTACGGCGTATTTTTACTCTGGTAGAACTAACTTATCTGCATGAACCCACATCCTTCCTCTGCCCTCGGTCCCCGCTGCAGTGCTGCATCTCATCAAGACAGCTCAGGCGCAGCACGGCGGCCGCTACGGCGACTACCAGCGCTACCGGTAGGTCGCCGTCCGGACCGGCCTGATTCGCTGCCGGCTCGCTCATGCTTGATCTGTAAGCCGTTGCTGACCTTGCAGTGCTGGAGTGCTCTCCTGGTTGTGACTGAACGTTGCCGCGTGGAAGCCGTTGCTACTTTGGCGTCCTTGTCTTCGCTCCTGATCACCCTTAGCCTCTCGTGCGTCCTTTTTCACCCATCATTATTATTCGCCCGTCATCATTGCGTTCCGTTGCAGGCGCTACTGCTCGGCTCGTCTGCGGCGGCTGTTCCGGTCGCTGCGCTTCCTGCACGGCAAGGGCAAGTACCAGCGCAAGGCGCTCGAGCCGCACACCGTCTCAGATGTCAGGTACGCGGACTGAGCCTGCCATGATCCCGCCAATGTCACAGATGGCAGGTAACCGGAATGTGCTCATAGCGATATTCAGGATATTTAGAAACGACACCTTCGCCAGTATTTCATATCTGCCTCCCTCTGACTCTCCCACCTACCAGGATGCGCTCAAACTCTATTTTTTCTCGGCCAACATTTGTTTGCAAGATTGCCTCTTTCATCAGAAACTCGCCCATCCCCTCCTCCCCCCTCCCCTCTTCCCCTCTCTCCTCCCCTCCAACATCCCCCCGAACTCCCCACCAGGCATCTGCACATCCCGCTGTTCTCCGCGGAGCGCGCGTGGGCGTACGCCATGGAGCTCAAGCAGGCTATCAGTGAGGCGGGCTCCGCCGCCGCCGCGCAGGCCGCCTTTGCGCGCAAGCGCGCGCACCTGCTGCGGCGCCTGGCGCGCGCCGCCAGATGGGCGGACGGGTTCTCGCGGCTGTGCGCCGCTAGGGCGGACTCCAAGACGGCGCTGGAGGCGGAGGTGGGGGAGAAGGGGGAGGGAAGGGGGGGGAAGGAAGGGGGGTTGAGAGGGGAGGGTGGGGGAGGTGGGGGGAGAGGGGAGAGGGAGGGGCGGACTTGGTGAGGGAGCTTGGGGTGTTTGGATGAGGGATTGGTAACGATTCGGTGAGAAATGAATCCAGATTGTTGACGCCAGATTCGGAGGGGGGGGAGAAGGGGAGGAAAAGGGGGGGGGAAGGGAGGGGTAGACTTGGTGAGGGGGCTTGGGGTGTTGGATCCCAAAACTTTTCCCTTCGCGCCCCTTTCTTCACTCCCGTCCACCCGTGCGCGCGCGTGTGTGTGTCTCTCTCTCCCTTGCAGGCGTACGCGTCGTACATGTGGGGCACGGTGCTGATGGAGCGAGAGACCGACTTCGACACCGCCCTGCAGAAGTTCAGCCGTGCGCGGTGAGCATAGAGACAGGGGATTGGGGAGGGGGGAGGCAGAGGGTTGGGAGGAGGGGCAGATGCTGAGCCGGCATGCTGTCAGCCGCCTTACGGACCCCCCTATCCCGCTGCCTCGTCCCCCCTCTCCCCTACTATTGTCCGGTAACCCCCCAATACTCCTGCCTCGTTTCCCCTCTCCGTCACCTCTCCTCTCTCCCCACGTGCCCTCCCCCCCCCCCCCACCCCCCTCTACATGCAGCACGGTGTACGAGCAGCTGGGGCGGGTGGGCGACGTGGAGGAGCAGATGCTATGCCGGCAGCGCGCCGAGGAGATGGACCCCAGCATCCGCTTCTGCCGCTACAAGATGGGCGCCCAAGCCCCCAACGCCGCCTCCTCCGCTGCTGCTGATGCCGCTTCCAATCTCCTCGACCTGTCCGTGCACGAGGGGCCGGGGGCCGATTTGCTGCAGTCCAAGCTCGAGGTGCGGTGGGCAGGGGCGAAGAGCGGTTTAGGGAGGTATGGTGGCGTGGCTGTCACCTTCCCAGTGCAGTTGTTACCTCCCCCATGCCGTGTGTGGCTGGTTTTAGGCTCTGTTGCCTGACGTGGGGACCACTGCTGGTTGTCTGTTGATGGCCCCTCTCTCCCCCCTCCCCCACCCCCACCCTTTCCACCTTCCCTTCCTCCCCCCCTCCCTCTCTGCTGCCCACCTCGTCCGCATGCGCAGGCGGTGATGGAGGAGGCACGGTCGCGCGAGGCGGCGAGCCTGGCGGAGCTGGACTGGCTGGGGCGTAAGTACTCCGTGCTCAATGCCAAGACGCGCGTCTGCATCCTCAAAGGTGCACAGTCAGGGCACAGGGGGGGGGGGAGTGGGGGAGGGGGGGGGGTGGCAGGGGGAGGAGGAGGGAGGGGGGAATTGTTTGGCCTTGCTGATGTGTTGTTTCCTTGTGACTATCCCTGCTGACCCGTTGGCCCCTACAGCGCAGCAGCTGGAGGCTGAGGTGGCATCTGCTGACGTGGCAAACGACCGTCGGCTCAACCTGTACGACAAGATCTTTGTGGCGTACCACGACGCCAAGCGGCTCATTCGGGACGACATGGTACGGATGTCTTCGTGTCATGCCCTTCAGTTTAGAATGCAAACCCTCTCTCATGGTATCCTGGCAGTGCACTTGTGGCGAGGGGTGCATTCTGAGTCTCACGTTTCCTTCCATCCTCTGTGTTCTTACGTCACCTCCCACCCTCCTTGTTCTCTCCCCCTCAGGTGGCGGCGGGCGGGGCGGAGGATGTCAAGGAGCAGCTGGCAGCGCTGGAGCGTGCGGTGTCGTGCCTGGTGCTGCAGCGCACCATCGACCGCAACCTGCTGCTCGTGCACGGCGCCAAGAGCCGGCTGGAGAGGCAGCAGCAGCAGGGGGGGCAGGGGGGGCAGCAGCAGGGGCAGGGGAAGGGGAAGGGAGGAGGGGATGAGGGGAAGAAGGGGAAGCGGGAGAAAGGGAGGGAGGAGAAGGACAGGGAGAAGCCGGCGAGGCCGGAGGATTTGATTAGGCTGTATGACACTCTGCTGCAGGTGGGTGGGGCGGTGGGATACAGGATACACAAACACACACCTCATGACACACACACACACACCTCATGACACACACACACACACACACACACACTCACACACTCACACACACACACGCACAAACGCTCACACGGACGCACATACACAAGCACACGCACCCCCACATACACTCGCTGATCTGGGATATCCGTGGCCGACTTCTCCTCTCCTCTCCTCCCGTTGCCTCCAATTGCCGAAAGCTCACCGATCTCCCCTGTCCTCCCTGTGTGCGTTGCCACCTGCAGAACGCATCGGACCTCTCTGATCTGGCGGCATCTGGAAGGGACGCCCGTGCAGAGGAGAAGGCGCTGGGTGCTCAGCTCGAGGCCAACAGAGCCTGCTACCAGGCCTGCAGGTACGGCTGCTACCAGGCTGCAGGTATGGGGAGTGTGGGCGTGAAAGTCAGGGTCAGTCTCTTAGGCTTTTCAAATCTCACTCTGCCCAATCCCCTTCTCCTGGTCCGTCTCTCATGCCCTCCTCGCTTTGGTTCGCCCCCTCTCCCGTCCTCCATCTCCATCACTCTCCCTCCCCCAGGGCGTTCTATGTGGCCCTGGCGTACCAGGCAGCAGGCAAGGACGCGGAGGCCTACGTGGTGTTTGGCAGGGCGGCAGCGGACGCGGAGGAGGCAGGCAAGGGGCTGCAGAAGCTGCAGGAGGGCACGGGAGCACAGGCAGGGAAGGATAGCAAGGGGAAGGGCAAGGGCAAGGCCACGGACAAGGTGTGATGGCAAGGCTGCTTAGGCGACCTTCCAGGTTTTAATGTACTTCTTTCCTGGGCATTCTTTGTGCTGAACTTCCCCTCCTTTTGCTTCCCGTTATCCGCTGTAGCGTCACCAGCGCCCCGGCCACTGTACCTGGTTCAGAAGCCTCACCACCTGCCATGAGTATGTGGCCCCAACCCCAACCAAACCATGCATGCAGGCATCAGAGCAAGCTGCAGAGGAGAGGGAGGTGCAGGAGGTGGTGGCACGCAGCAAGGTGCAGCGGTGTGTCATCCACGCGCGTGCCACTCTTGAGGCCATCAAAGCAAAGGACCCGGCCACTGTGGAGAAGGGCGTTGCGGAGCTCTCCCTGCGCGGCAAAGACAAGGTCTGCTCTTTGTTTTGTGTCTTGGGTTAAACAGGTGCGTAAGGGATCCCATCCCAGTGTTTTTCTCACATCATGGTTCTATTCGTATGTTGTTTGTACAATACGTTGCTCCGTGTTGTCTTCAGCAGCAGGTGGACGCTAAGTACATGACTGAGAACCTGAATGAATTCGTGAGTGCAATCACACTGGACTCCACTCCTGGCTCCAAGCTCGTCCCCCACATCGCTCGAGTGCCGCCGCCCTTCCAAGCTGTGCCGTGCCGACCCATCGTGCTCGACACCGCTCTCAATGCCATCAACTTTCCCGATCTTGAGGGCCGGGCCAAAAAAGAGGGGAAGAAGGGAGGTGGTCTCTTCAGCTCTTTCTGGGGTGGTGCCAGATCGTGATCTGTGTGTTCAGGAGGAGCTGTGTTTAAATAATATGCCAAGATGGGCATTCTCATTCAGACTTGAGGGTTTCAACCAACAACGGAATTCCTTCCCAAATTTGGAACCTAAAGAGGGTTTACATTTCTGGATAGTTTGCATCTAATCGAGCCATGCTGAAAAGAGTCGGTAGTGTCCTGTCCACCCTGGCTTGTGATGAAGTGGCTGCTCGAATGTTCCATCTCAGGTCACGAGTCACGCCAATTGGAATGTTCATGTTCCTTACACGTGCTTCCTAGTGATTGTTCCACGCCGAAACTTACTCCCAAATCATTGGAGGCCGTGCTGTTCGATTTTTCGTCGCACCCATGCTCTTTGATCTCCACCGTTCACTTCAACGCATTCCCAAGATGCTAGGCAGGCACTGGGACTGCCGAAGCCCAAGACCGAGGGAGCGGCACGAGGGCACCCTAGGGATGACCTGGCACTTGCTTTTCCCTGCAGTGCCTTCAGTTCAGCTTTTCCCCTGCCTCCTTCCATCTCTGCACCTGTCAAGATCCTTCAAAAGCCTTTCAAGATCTCATTTTCTTTATTTTCGTGCACGTTTTCCGCCACTGCCTTCGCCATTCGTTAGCTCCTTGCTTTGTCACTACTCTGCGAACTCAGACATTCGTATCAAGGGATCCCTTTCCAGTATTCACGAACGAAACAGCTATGGCGTTCGCGGTTTCTAGCATCCCGTCGGCTCAAGCCACAGTAGTCACAACTGCCATCTCCTCATCATCACACAAGTCAGCATCACCCGATACTGTGTCGTTCACCTCCTCCTTCCTTCGCTCGCCGAAGCCTATTCTGGCGGTCCGCTCTCGCAAGCCCTGCGTCGCCCGCAAGGCATGCTCCGTGCGCGCCATGGTGGCTTCTACCGACGCCGTTTCGTTCTCCGCCAAGGAGATGGAGCGAGTCGCAGCGAAAGAGGCTCTCCTGCTTGCGGTAAGATCATCAAAATGTTTACAGATGACAGCTTGCGGGATTCGGGAGTAGGTTCACATCGGTATGCAGATCTGGAACGGATGAAGCCGTGCATCACACGTCTGTGTATTAGGTCATGCCACGCCTGTTTGACCTGTAACCTGCTGTTTCGGTGACATCAGGTGAAGGACGCGGGTGGCGCGGAGGCTCTGAGCACGGGCAAGGGAAATGCGGCGGGGAAGATCGAGGTCAGCGAGAAGCTGCTGCAGCTGGAACGACTCAACCCCACCCCGCGACCCACCACGTAAGCTCTACCTCTTTTCTCTGGCTGACTGGCCCATGACTTCCTTTTCGTTAGTACATGCTTCGTATTTTTCCTGTGCCTAACTCGACTTTACTTCGCTTCGTTATTCTCGCGGCTGCAGGTCGCCTCTCCTGGAAGGCAGGTGGGACATCGTGTGGACGGCCACTCGCAACCCAGGCGTCATCGCCACCCGCGTGCTGCTCAAGTAGGCCTCACTCGACCTTAGGGCTCTCCCATGTGCCACATTCCGCTTCCTACTCCTCTTCTAGTTGATTATGACGCGAGATTATGACTGACACCCTTGTCAACCCCCGCTCACTTCGTGTGGTAGTTCCTTTTCACACGCTCCCCTCCCCTTATTCCCTTCAGGCGGTTCCCCACTCAGGTGGCATCACTGGAGTCTCTGCAAGTGCAGATCTTGGAGGGTGCCACTAAAGTGACGGCCGGTCTCAAATTCCTCTCCGCGGTAGGAGTCTGGCATAGTTGCAGTGTCATTGGAGCCTGGTATGTTTGCATCGAATGACAATTCTGACTGAGTTCTGTGCATCGAATGGTACTGCTGGCTGAAGTGTGTGCCTTCCACGAAATTGCTGACTGAAGTGTGAGCATTGAATGTGAACTCTGCTCGAAGATTTACTGAACTTAACTAGTAATAGCGAAACGGAACTAATTGCCCTGAAAAGTGTTGGACTTACTTAGCAAAGTTACGACCACACGCACCTTATGTTCTGGCTTTCTGTCAGTTCCTGGCCCTGCATCGCCTTCTGTTTTCCATTCTTGGATCTTTGTAGTTCTGAGATCATTTTACTCCTTACATCTCCTCTTGTCCTTCAGGCTGAGACAACGGTCACCGTTACAACTCGTCTAGCTGTGGAAGGCCCTGTCAGGTAAGAATGCAGTCGTTGACTTTAGCATGGTTGGTCATCCACCATGTGGAGCTTGACCATCCCTCACCCCTTACCAGTGATTACTGACTGGCATATCCCCGGGAGGCGTTTGTTCCTTGTGCAACAGGATTAAGGAGGAGTATGCTGAAGCAGTGCTGGCCACTCCCGTGGTGGCAGATGGCAGCATCCCGTCAGCTCTCAAAGGCGTCGTTGATCAGCTGGCATCAGCGAGTCAATCACTCCCTGCTGCTGTGAAGGATGCCTTCTCATCAGGCCTCAAGCTCCCCCTCAGTATGTTCCTTGTTCTCATCAAACTTTCAAGATGTCTGTTGTTGCCAGCAGAGCCTAGGCTAGCGCCGTCTTGTTCTCTTGTGCATCCAGATGGCGTGCTTACAGTTTTTTCCTGGTGATATGTGCTGTGATGCGTTTTCAGATGGGAGATACCAGAGGGAGCTCATTATCTCGTACCTTGACGATGAGATCCTGGTAAGATGCATGTGAAGCAGCAGAGTTTGGTTGACTCCACAATAAATGCCTGAGAGAAATGATTTTGATGCTTATGCTCCTGGTACGCAATTTGCCCCTCCAATGGCTAACACTTCTCTTCTCGTCATTTTCAGGTGGCTCGTGACCAGGCTGGCCTTGCTGATGTGTTGGTGCGAGCTACCAGCACTACCACCACCATCCCTTCAGGGGATGAGTCTGAGATAGATGAGCCAACTCCATGAAGCGAAACACCAGTGTAGTTGAATGGAGTGCTGCATTTTACCAGCCCTTTCTCTCGTAGATTGGTGTATGATGACTGCCATGCCGTGTACCCGTATCCATTAGTGAGGCCTGTACACGTCATGATATTAACTCTGTCAAGAATGTGCATCCATAATACACACCCAGGTATGATTGATCACAAAAGGTGCAGGGTAGTCGATTAGTGTAGGAGTGACGTCCGATATCGATTCAATAACGAAGTAGTACAATCATCGTGACTATCTCCAAGGAAGTGACATGTCAAAGCGTGGGGCGATATCGACGGCTCCAACTTTTCTTGTCCTTGGGGCACGAACCGCTCTACTTTGGCATGGGAATCGAGTGAACAGGCCAGGAGATGATTTTGGAGCCCTTGATTAGCCCGTCACGTCCTAAGCCAGGGGGTTTGGTTTGGAGGAACCTTACGTGGCAACCGAACAAGGTGCCCAAACCTCCCCGGTTTTTCAGCACACAGCCTCCCGTGGCTGGGCATTTTGTTCGGCCCCCACGGATTCATCGGATCAGTTCGCGGATGATCGGACCGCGCATGTCCGCCACTTCCTCCGCACCACACAAACGCCGAAATCGCCCCTTGCATTCACCCAACTCGCTCTCGCCCCCACAGCACAAAAATGTCGAGGGCCAGCAAGGCTTGCTCTGGGGAACTTGATCTGAGACTCGTTTCAGTCGCCGTCTAATACGCCTTTTACTTCCCTAACCACCCAGTTTTCATAGCATTGCGTTTATTCCTGTCGTGCTTCGCCGCGTAGCTTCTTCGAAGGCTTAGTTATTATCCCGTTAGGTGCAGGAGCAGTGTGTTTGACGCCTTCGTCGTAGGTGCTCGCGCAGTTCCCTTACTGACAGCCACAATAGGATGTCTGTAGCGCCGTACTTCTAGTAGCAATCAGGACTGAAGTTCCAAGAGCTATTAGTCGATCAATCGCGAATTTATAGTCAACGGGTTTCGCGGACCGATTAGTGACTGGGCTGGCCGTAAGATCACCGTTACCAAGAGTAGCGACTGGCAGCAGCACCGACACGGGCGATACCGCTTCAGTTTCAAATGGACGATGCTCGCATTAGCATCGTCGCAGGGTTCATCGCAGGCGTCGCAGAGGTCCTCGTGGGGTATCCGTTCGACACGGTGAAGACCCGAATGCAGTCGCAGGATCGCGCGGAGCCTCCGTTGCTTCCAGCGCACCGCGACCGCGACAGCGACATCAATGGCTGCTCAGGTCAAGGTCGGGCGGCCACTCCTGGTGGCCAGCACTACAGCTCGCCGTGGAGCTGCGCTGTCGCGACGTACAGAGCAGAAGGCATCGGGGGCTTCTACCGCGGCATCGCCGCGCCGATGCTCCAAGTAAGGCCGCAATGTACCCTGAACTCTCTCAACGAGACTAGATTTCTTCTGCGCATGCTTTTCGTCGCTGAAAGAGCCGGCCCGTACGGGGTCGCTCTGATCCCTTTCGGAGCCAAATGTCGGTAACTGACACGTTTTCTGTCGCAACCGATCCGTGCAGGAAGCGGTAGGCGTGGCTCTGCTCTTCGGAACGCGCGATTGGCTGCGAACGGCGATAGGTGCTGACATCAGCCGACCAGGGGTGTTCATCGTAGCCTGCTCCATAATCGGCCTGCTAGAGTCTTTAATCTACTGCCCCCTAGACCACCTAAAGACGCGCATTCAGGTCCGCGGCCAACGACTTAAACACCAGCTACTACATTCGACTACTGCTACGTCTGTCGCATCCCAAGATTCCTCCAAGCATTCGTCTAATACCCCTAAGACTCCAGTGATTAGCGCTGGGCTGATTGGAGGGACGGGACACGAGGGAACATGTGTCTCTCTCTCCCTTCCGCCCTCTACCGCGTACTGCATAGGCGTGGGTCCCGGGCTTTTAGCAGGCAAGGAGTCGCACGCGGATCTACCTCCTCTAGGCATGACCATGGGCGTGGTGATGGGTAAAGACATGCACGGGGAGCTCATGGGGATCGTCAGCGCCGCCCGCAGCGTTATCCGCGCGAGGGGAGTGCTGGGGCTGTACCTGGGGTTTGTGCTGCAGGCGTGCAAGGAGGTGCTGGGCAACATCGCCCTCTTCGCCACGTATGACGTCGCTCTGGCGCTCTTCAGTGGCACCACCCTCGTGCCTGGCGGGGGGCATGGAGGCCACTTGCAGGCCGGCCAATCGTGGATGGCCATCTGGCCTGCAGGAAGCCTTGCTGGCATGGCCTATTACCTGGTAAGCACAAATGATGTAGCAGCTGAAAGTATCCTGGATGCACCTCAGCTAATCTGGTTCTCCTCAATCTCCTACCATCAATGATGCAACTTGTTCAAAAAATCCCTGACTGTTTCCCTTCCAAATTGTATCCTCGTTGTCCCTCCTCTCCAGCTTGGCTTTCCTTTTGACACGATCAAGACTCGCCTACAGACTGACTCTCTCACTCACCCTCGTTACCGGAGCTCCTTTCACTGCACTTGGCACATGTTGCGCCACGAAGCTTCCTTCTTGGACCTCTATCGAGGCGTCTCTGCTTGCCTGGCTCGGGCCATTCCCGGCTGCGCTGTGCAGTTCTTTGTCTTCGAGGCTGCTCACCAGTTCATCTCTCAACTAGGTGCTCACATTGTTCCCAGCATACAGCCAGACAGTAGTCTAGGAATCAGTGGACTTGGCTATGCTGGAGGCAAACCAGCAATGGATCAAGAGAAGCAGTGGGACTTGCTCGCTGGGTGGAGCTGATATGCTGGGTTGGTTGGTTAGGTACGGTCGAAATAGTGTACAGGACATGTTCAATTTTGATAGCATCCTGATAAATGCACCACGGTGCACTGTTGCTATGAAGTGCTTCATGCTCGCCACCAGATGTAATAAGCAAGTTCAAGGTGTTGGAAAGCTGATCAGACTCGTGGTACCAGAATGTAAATTGCAGTAATTAAATTGAAGTATTGAATCACACACTAGCTAGTAATTAAAACCCACAATTACAAATAGCAACTAGGGTATGCAAAGCATTGTGTGAGGTAGCGTGTAGCTTGAAACCGGGGCGAAGTCCAACACGGAGTCGCAATAAGCTGGTGCATCTCACCGAATCTCTGCGATTGTCAACTGGCTGAAGTCTTTATGCAATGAATGCTTAGTTACCCGCAGCATACCAGTGTTTTTTTTTTTTTGAAGTCACAGTTCTGCTCCATTCTCCCTGTATGTTAGTATACCAGCTGCACATTTTATAGCTGGGCAGCCTACCCCTTCCTCACCTCGCCGAGGGCGATTATGCAAGCGACAGAAAAGGGCTGTAAACTTGAAGCTTGGCGGCCTCAAGAACTGACGTGGAGCTCGCTGGATGGCTGGGACCTTGTTGTGAGCGGCGTGCCTGCTCTTTCGTCCAGATCTTACCAGTAGCTTCGGTGACCTGTCGAATCAAACAACAATTCTTATTGCCACCCAAGCTTTTCGTCAAACTCCCTCCAAGTAGTCCACAGCGAATGATAACACTCGCGATTTCCTAGAGCTATTCCAGGCTCTGTCGGATTGTTCTCGGTTAGCACTCTTGAAAGGTTCTCTGTGGAGTCTTCAAGGCGTTTTGTTCTAGAGGCCACTCTCGGCTGACACGACGCAAGAATGCGCAAAACAGCTCGAGTTTCCAGCAGAAACCAATTCGACTGCTTCTGGGTGTGGGTGTGGGTTCTGTACAGCCGCATGTTCAGTAAGAAGGACAAGGTGGAAAATACATTATTTGGCGGGATGTGGGGAACTCCTCCCTACCTACCCTCTTCAAGGTTTCATTCAAGGTGTAAAACTTTGGAATGTGTCTTTTTAGGTCCGTCGTGCAATTCACATCACACGATTTTCGCCGAACGAGATGTAGTTGCATAATGGTTTCGTCTCGTGCTGTCAACATTCCCATCTTCTGCTCATGTGTGGTGATCATTGGCCCTCCAAATGGAAACGAAGAGAAGCGAACTCCAACTCATTTTCCTGAACCTCCTAGGATTTACCCTGTCTCACAAGTGCATTCCCATTCATTCCACACTGTAGCAGGCCTCACTTCGTCCCACCCACCCCCCGTGTCTTTTCTTGTCCCACCCACCTCCTCTCACAACTCCCCTCCCAAAGCTCCACCTTATTTAGCCAAACCACCTTGGAAATCTCAATGGCTGTCTACAATGCTCACCGCTGTAACCTGTTCCCTCCTCACCCCTCGCGGCTCGCTGCATTTGCTGGCTGCTTGCTGGATTGCAGGTCTAGGGTATCCAAAAACTATGTCACTGTGCGTCGACTGTTTTACGTTTTTCCTCCCTCTCGTCCGCCTCTACCACGTAAATTGTTGCTGAGGATCTGATTCTCTCTTGCCTGGCTGTGCTTGAAGCTGAACCCGGGAGGTCCGACGAAACCCCATTGCACGCTGTAGCCTTCCTCTTGCCTTACTTTCCGCGGTGGTGAGCTCTGTTGGATGTCAAATCCCAGGATCTCACATCTTACTTGATGTGAACTTATCTTCTATGCTATCTTTCACACACACGCGCTTTTCCCTGCTTCAAGCAATGCGTCAATGGCCGGACGGGTCTTCGTGAACATTCTACCCTGGATAATATCGTCCAAGAACCCTTGAAATGTCAGGTCTGCCTGTCAATCAGCACACGCCGAAATAGGAACTTGTCCGAGAGCGTACCGACCTAGCCTGAAAAGTAGATAGAGGCTATCTTTTTGCACCGACGACAGTCATCGAACTAGAGGACATAGACTTAGAACTGGACGTTTCTCAAGCTTTAGAAATATCATTCTCTTTGCGCGACGCTTCAGGCATACAAGTGTGCTATGGAGCCTCAGAGCAATGCATCCGCATCCCGCGTTCCGTCGCACAGGTCCCAAATGCTTCCGCCATCGTCGTCCGCCACAGCCGGCACCCTCGGCTCCGAACGCGTCGACACGTCGATAGACGAGGGGTTTCGAGGTAGCATGAGCGGCGGGGGTGACGACGGCGGCGAGGACGAGCCGAGTCGGGCGTCGGATGGGGCCCAGCAGGGACCAGAGCCGGGAATAATCATGCTAGGAGGCCATCGCACGCGACCCAACTGGACGCCTCAGGTAACTTGTGACTCGGTACACTCAATATCATAGTTCAAAACTCCCGGCGGTTTCTATGATCTGTCCATGATCTGCGAGGCTGTCCCTAATTATCTCTTTCCGATCCGTCTATTCAGGAGGACCTAATTCTGCTGCAGCACGTGGCGAAGCACGGGACTCGCAACTGGGGGTCGCTTCAGGTCGGCGGTTTGCTGCCGATTCGCGACCAAAAGGCCTGCTGCAATCGATTCATCCTCCTAAAGAAGTGCGTTTAGCACGTGGTACTTTCGTCTCACGGAGTTGCATCGAACGAGCCATCGACGATATTGTGTGGGACGCGAAGGTGTAGCGTCGTTAAGAGTTATTTCTCGCACGGAGTTCGAATAGGAGGAGAGAGGTTGTTTGCTCGTGGAGTAGAGAGTTATTTTTCTTACAGTACACTCACTAGATGTCCTGGTGCGGATGACGGGTTTGCCTATATCGCGGAAAACATTATCCATTTTCCAGATTCCCAACCCTCTCATCTCAGCCTCTTGTTTTGCTTGTGATTCCACCCTCCCTACCTCTCTCCAGGCGTTGCATCAAGGACAAGCGTAGTCTGTCGCAGCTGCTGCAGCGCGCCAAGGACGCCGTCATTCACGACGCATGCAGGAACGTTAACGCAGCCGCAGCTGGCGTCGCGGGTCCTTCCTTCGCCGCCGGAGCCGTGCAATCGTCGACGCCCTTCCAACATGCCTCCACGGGATCGCCGCATGTCGCTGGAGGTTTCGCCGGATCGTCCGCCGCTCTTCACGCTGCGGCCTCGGCGCTCAACCCCCTTGAGGTGCTGCCGGTACGCCTTACCCTCTGCATTCTGTCGTCGGTTTCTTTCGACCTTCTGTAGAGGATTGAATTGTCGACGTTGTACATCGTTACTGCGATGGTGCGATTGGTGATACTTTGGTCATCTTATTTTCATCGCAAATTGCGGCAAAACCGATACTATGCCTATCAACGGATCTGACAAAGGAGTGTTATGCAACGAACGTCAGCAATGATACAATGTCTTGGGCTCGTTTTGGTGTGCCAGGATATCCGTTTTTTAAGAGCTGTATTTTTCGGTCACTAGACTGATTATAAAATGGTACCGAGGTCTGAATCGTTTTCGCCTCAACTGCTTTCGCAACTGCGTCCCTTCCCGCTCTCTTAACCTGCTTCTGTACTTCTCAGGCGCTCACGTCGCCAAGCCTCGGCGTCAACAGCCAATCACGGATGTCCTTCAAAGGCAGTGGCCTCTCGGCTGACGTCAGCAGGCCGCTGCTCCCTTCGGGACCGTCGATGTCAGCAGCAGCGTCACTTCACGAGAATGCCCTCCGCGCAACTCTGCTCCGCTCGGCGTTGGCGTCGGCAGCAGGGGGTTCTCAGGACGCATCCCAGCCCCTGCAGCAGCAGTTGATGCAACAGCACTTGAGCCTGCAGCAGCAGCAGAGCCTACAGCATCAGTTGTTACAGCAGCAACTGGCACTGCGCCAGCATAGCATGCAGCAGCAGCAGCAGCAACCACAAGCGGCAGCATTGTTGCAGGAGAGGCAGTTTTTGTCTCAGTCTGGCTTCAACCAGTCACAGATGCAAGCAGAGATGCAAGTGCAGGTGCAGATGCAAGCTCAAGTGCAGCTGCAGGCTGAGACGCGACTGGCGACAGGCGTGTCTGAAGCTCAGGGCCAGATCTTGCGGAGGTTTCAATCTCAGGCGAGGGAGCAGCAGCACTCCCAGCAGCACCCCCAGCAGCACTCCCAGCAGCACCCCCAGCAGCACTCCCAGCAGCACCCCCAGCAGCATTTCCAGCAACACCCCCAGCAGCATTCCCAGCATCAGTTCCAGCAGCAGAAGGCTCAGGAGTTTTCCTCGGGTCTTCCACTGGACGGGTTGCAGCTGGACGAGGCGCAAGTGGCGTGGCTGAAACAGGCGCACATGGAGGCTCAGCGGTTCACGCTCTCCCAAGTGCACGCCAGCAAGGGGGGAGGGCAGGGAGGGGTTGATGGAAGTGGGGAGGCGACGAGGGGAGAGCAGGGTGTGGGTCAGCAGGGGAGTACAGGTGGGAGCGATGGGCGAGGTGACTTGAGACAACTGGAAGGGGGGAGCGCTGACGCTGGTGTTGGTGTGCAGAGCATGGATGCGCACACGCAGCTGCAGCAGCCATCGCAGCAGCAGCAGCAGCAGCAGCAGCAGCAGCAGCAGCAGCAGCAGCAGCAACAGGCTGCGAGCATGTCGATGCAGCTCGCCAACTTGCGGTGAGTTCACGGGTTCAGTTCAATTCAATCCATCCCCATTTTCGACTTGGCGTTTCCCCAATTCCCCTTGTCTGCAATGAGCGCTTCCCCATGTCTGTCCCTCACGCATCTGCGTCCATCCCTTCTGCCGGTTGGTCCTCTCTTGTTCTTCCCAGGTCGCAAGTGGGCCTTCAGCCGGGCTCCCTGCTCGCCCAAGCACTCAAGCTCTCCCACCAGCCTGCCTTTGCGTCCGTCTCCAATCTCCCCCTCTTCTCCAACTTCCGCTCCCTCACCCCCCTCAATCCTCCTCTGCGCACCCCACCGAGCCCCATGCCGCATCATCCCACCCCAGGACCCTTCCCTCTACCAGTACTCTGGCTGCGGCTGCTGCCAGTGCACCTGCAGGAGCTACGGTGTCCATGCCGAACCTTCCAGGCCCGGCACTCAGCGAGCCGGTGTTCCCTGCTGTGCAGTCGGGGGAGGTGACGGATCGGTTCTCCTCCTTCAGTGACTCACACCTCGCCTCTGCCCCTGAAATCGGCGCCACGTCCTCTCCAGCTGCTGCTGCCATGATGTCAGCAGTTGCGTCCGCGGGTTTTGCTGCTGGTCCTGGTGGTGGTTCAAGCAGTGCATTCCCTGCCGACAGTGGGAATGGCAGCGGAGGGGGTTCCTTCACCACTGTGCTCCACATGTCGTCAGCTGCATTCCAGCACCAGCAACAGCAGCTGCTGCTGCGGCAGCAGTGGGGTGGGCAAGCAGCAGGAGGCGCAGGGAGCGAATTCGGTGCAGCAGCAGGCAGTGCCGAATCCCCTGTGCACGTGTGGAAGCCTAAGGAAGATCCGAGCTGGTTCCAGCAGGTGGGGCAGGCAGGCGGGCTGGCTAGACTTGCTGGAGGCATGGACAGGGAGGGTGGGGAGGCAGGACAGTTAGCAGCGGCAGCAGTAGCGGGGAGGATGGCAGGAGCGGGGCCACTTGTGGCAGCAGCAAACCAAGGGTTTGAAGGAGGGGCTGGAGGGGAAGGGGGAGGAGGAATGTTATTGCTGGCTGAGCCTGCGCTTGCTGATGTAAGCAGGCAGGAGGGGCAGCAGCAGCCTGAGAGCAAGGGGCATGGCCAGCGTGTGGATGAAAACAACCCGCCTGCATTGCAAGAGTCACAGCAGCAGCAAGATCAGACTCAAACGTGTGGTGGGGCACATCAGTCGGTCCAGCAGGCTTCAAGGCTGGCGTTGCAGCAGGCCCACCGACCAGATGCAATGTTGGAGGCCCTGACAACGGGGTCTCAGTCGTGGGTGGGGGAGGGGGGGCGATGGGTGGATGAGCATCAAATGCAATGGAGGGCGCAGAAGGCAGGGGCGAATGCAGGGATGGGTGTGGGGATGGCTCAAGCAGAGCAAGGTGGTGCAAGGGCGGATCATCTGGAGGAGGCTGCGATCCTTCGAGCACTGCATGCAGAGATGGAGGTGGGTGTTGTCCTTTGATGCTTGGGTTGGCTTCTTATTCATACTAGCCTGTGAAAGTTTGCCTGCCTAATTTGTTTGAACTGATGTGTGATTTGTGTGCAGACATTGAGCGCTTTGGTAAACTCTTCAACAACACCGACAAGCTGAGCAGCACCATGAGGAGCACCATGAGGAGCACCATGAGGGCTCACCATGAGAGTCCCTTTTTTTGTGTATGATAGAAATCATAAATTTGCAATGCCTACGGTGATTGTGAATAAGCTAATGAGTTGGATCTAACTTATGTACATAGTGGGTAAATGTCTAATGAGTTGTGAGTTGGATCTAACTTCACTACACAATACCCAATGCTACACCTTCACCTCAAAGCTTTTGCCCTGACACAGATTCGGTTCGCGCGCCGAGTTCGGCTGACGCATTAGTGACCTGTGGCAGACAGAGACTCTCGATAGTGGGCTCAGATTCGCAGGGGGCTCGCTTGCTTCAGGCACATCCGTTACCTCACGGAATAGTTCACGATGCCAGCCTTAGATTAGTCGTCAGTGGCTTCTCGTGATACGCGCTAGTGTCTCGCTTCTCCGTAGCTTGTGATTATGGATTCATGCTTTCTAGCCTAACGTCGTGCCGTAAACGTTAGGTCGTGCAAGTAGCCGCCGGTTAGCTAGTTATTCTCTGGCTTCTCTTAACGTCGGTGCTCGTTTTAGCTGCGGTGTGAGCAGCGACCAAGGCTTCGTAGGTAGCTAACTATTAGGGTTTCGTAGTTATGGACTTCTTCAAAGCTGTGTTGTTCCAGGACGACGAGGAGGAGGAGGAGTCTCCTGAGACAGAAGGGGTTGACAACAAAGGAGGCGAAGGAGACAAACCCTCAGAGGAAACCGCGGGAGATGTGCGAACACCCTTCTTGATTCCTGTTCCTTTCGTTTTGATTATATGATTCGTCGAGGTTGAGAATCTGTGAATTCGGTTCCGGTATAAGCATCAGGCGACAAACGCATTTGCCTCTTTTATGTCTGAGAGATCGTCCCTATTGTTTCGCGTGTTCAGGGTGAGATTGAAGAGGAGGAGGAGGCGGAGGAAGAGCAGCCTTCAGCCTTGTGAGTAGTTGGCTTCCTTGTGTGTCCGAGTACCAAGTTTCCGCTGCTTGGTACCCATTGCCTGAAAGAGCTAACGAATCTCCCCTTCAAAAGCAACATTTCGTCACCTCCATTGATTCCCCTTCCTTGTGCAACCCGAGTCGCCGTTTATTTGACTCCTCTGATTCCTCCAACATCCCATTGACACGTGGCGTCCCCACATGCCATCCCCTCAGCAGCGGTGCCTGGAATCTCGGCAGTCTGCTGCAGACCATCGCCACCAAAGTGAGTCATCCGCTAGCCGTCCGTTCGCAGCAGAATAAGCATGCGCCATCCTGTCGCGACAGAGCCAGTCATCCTCTCAACAGTGTCCTGTCAAACCCAGTCAACCATTTCCTTCCTGCGCCTTGTACAAAACTCATCATGTTCATCAGCGTATAAGTGCGCTCATCAGCGTCATTTCCTGCGACACCTCCACGTAGCGCAGTAGCCGTTTCCCTGTCTTGATCCCTCGCCACTCCTGCTCTCCTGCTGTTCTTCTGCTGCTCCTGCTGATCCGCGGTGCTGCGCCCCGTGCCTGTCTGTCTGCCTACCTGCCATGGCTGGCTGGGTGGGTGCAGTCAGAGGAGGTGCTGCGCGAGTACCAGGCGGAGCTGCAGGAGTTCGGCGAGGGGCTCAAGAAGGAGACGGAGGAGCTGGTGGAAACCACCGCCACCACCGTGCACGACCTGCCCTCCTCGCTCGAGTCCGGCGCTCAAGTGGCTCAGGTGAGATGTGGAGAGCCGTGGCTGCTCTTGCGGTATCCCCCTCAGGGGTTTGGTGATTCCGTTTGCGCTCGACCACATGGTTCCTGCATCGTTTTACCTTCCACCCGCCTGCATCCCTCCCTTTCTCCTTCCGTTGTCTCATTTCTCCCTCACTCCTGTCCTCACTCCTGTCCTCACTCCTGTCCTCACTCCTGTCCTCACTCCTGTCCTCACTCCTGTCCTCACTCCTGTCCTCACTCCTGTCCTCACTCCTGTCCTCACTCCTGTCCTCACTCCTGTCCTCACTCCTGTCCTCACTCCTGCCCTCAATCCTGTTCTCACTGCTGTCCTCAATCCTGCCCTCACTCCTGTCCTCACTCCTGTCCTCTCTTCTGTTCTCACTCCTGTCCTCACTCCTGTCCTCACTCCTGTCCTCACTCCTGTCCTCACTCCTGTTCTCACTCCTGTCCTCACTCCTGTTCTCACTCGTGCCCTGCAGAGTTCACTGGAGGGCGTGGGCCACACAATCGAGGAGTTTGGCTCGTCTCTATGGAAGGGGTGAGTTGAGCACGCTGACATGCAAGGGGGCGGATGGACGGGGTGGCTTGTGACGGGTCAGGTGAGCACATTCGGATGGAAGCGCCACGTCTTCGGACCTCCACGCGTTTAGTGGTTGTGGCGGCAGTGGTGGACCAGCCCGCAGCGCGCCTGAGTCTCCTCCCTCCCTCCTCGCGCCCTACCTTCCCATCCCTATGTCGACCAGCTTGGTATAGATCCCTGTTGAGGCGGTGGTGGTGGCCATGGTGGAGGAGGAGGTGGCGGCCAGCACTCTCAACCCCTGTTGTGCCCCCCTCCGTGCCCCCTGTCGTGCCATCAGCACGACTGAGATCCTGGCGTCGGTAAAAGAGGCGGTGGCCATGGTGGAGGAGGAGGTGGCGGCCAACGCCGCTGGCGGCAGACCCAGAGCGCCCTCCGCTGCTGCTGGGCTCACCTCAGCCATTCCCAGGGGGTGAGAGGAGAAGGGGGGGGAGGATGGGAGTGGGTGTGGGGAGAACGGAATGGGGGGGAAAAGGGAGTGAGAAAGAGAGCGGGAAGTGGGTGAAGTGGGGGAATGGGTGAGGTGGAAGGGGGAGATGACCCTTACTGCGACTGGCTGTCCTGTCTGTGCTCTGTTCTCTGTGTCTCTCAACTCGTACAACACCTGTTGGGCCTGTTTACAGTGAACTCACCCCGTTTTCTGTGCCATCCCCTTGTGCGCCTCCAATGGCTGTTTCTGTGCCATCCCCTTGTGTGCATGGCAATGTGGCTTCCTCCTCCTATGGCTGCCTTGCTGCTGCTCCCGCCCTCGTCGGAAGCAGCAAGTACAGCCGCTATGAAGCGCTGGTGAGCAGCGCTCGCCGTCTCCTTTCTCTCTGGTCTAGATTTTCCTGCTCCTCATCCCTTCCTGCTGTGAGAACACCACTTGGTGGTGGTTTTAGCCGTACGTGTTTTACAGCCCGCTGCCACGTATGGCTAAAACCACCACCAAGTGGTGTTCTCTCGGATTTTTTATGTTCCTCATCCCTTCCTGCTGCGGCTTCAGCTCCTAGCCTCGTCCCTCATTCCCTGTCTACTGTTTCCCCACTCATATCTCCACTCCGTGCCCCCCCTCCTTCCCCTCCCCCCCCCTCGCGCGCAGGTGAGCGCCATGCAGAGGGACAGCAGCACGTACTGCGACGAGCCGGAGGACACGGAGGACTTTGCCAAGTGGATCGAGTCGTTTGACCTCAAGAACAGGTGCGCTGGGCAGCTCTGAGACGATTGCTGTTTCGCTCAACGTTTGTTCTGACTGTGGTGTTCTCCAAGTCAGATTTCACCTCAGCGTTGGTTGAAATTCGTGGGATTCAACTCGTGATCTTGCTTCATGTGCTAGCATGGCTGCTGCGTGTGCTCACGTGGCTGCTGCGTGTGCTCACATGGCTGATGCATGTACTCACATGGCTGTTGTGTGTGCTGTCATGGCATGCAACAGGGAGGCTGACGTGGAGGCAGTGCTGAAGGACAATGCATTCATGCAGGAGCTGCAATCACGCATAGGTGAGCTGCAGTCACGCATAGGTGAGTCGTGGCAGGAGCTGCAGTCACGCATAGGTGAGTCGTGGCAGGAGCTGCAGTCACGCATAGGTGAGTCGTGGCAGGAGCTGCAGTCACGCATAGGTGAGTCGTGGCAGGAGCTGCAGTCATGCTTAGGTGAGTCGTGGCAGGAGCTGCAGTCACGCTTAGGTGAGTCGTGGCAGGAGCTGCAGTCACGCTTAGGTGAGTCGTGGCAGGAGCTGCAGTCACGCTTAGGTGAGTCGTGGTAGGAGCTGCAGTCACGCATAGGTGAGTCGCGGCGTGTCTTTCACGTGAGTCGGTGCCAGGCCACGTGTTTCCTGCCTGTCATCGCTCTGTCTACATCTGCAGCCTCATGTGAACCCCTATCTCCCTCCCCCCTGTTGCCGGCATGTGCTGGGCAGTGCCACTGATTGTGGAGCGCGAGACCTTCTGGACGCGCTACTTCTACCGCCTCTACCGCCTGCAGCAGGCAGAGGACGCCCGTGCCGACCTCGTTAAGAGTGAGCCTCGGTCATACCCCTCAAGCACCCCATGCCTAGAACACCACATCCATCCCGCCCACATGGGTTCAGCAACCTTCTCTCTCCACCCCGTGGCCGCCATAGGGGCGATGACATCTGAGGCCGATCTGAGCTGCCATGTGGATGGCGTCACACGGCAAGCACACAGCAGCCCTTCCTCCGCCTCCCCATCCCCCTCCCCATGCCTGAGTGCGCTCCCCCCAATCCCCCCTGTCTCCCATTCCCCCCTCTCTCTCCCCGTGCGTCAGGGGCAACGACATCGGAGGAGGAGGACCTGAGCTGGGATGTGGATGACGATGCAGACGACGCCCACAGCAGCCCTGCTGCCACCCATGCTGCCACGGGTAAAAGGGATGCTGCTGCTGATGCTGCTGGTGCTTCTGCTGCTGCTGGTGCTGTCGCTGCTGCTGGCGGCAGTGACCCTGCTGCCGCGTCCCCTTCGAAGGAGCCTGAGGAGGGAGCAGCCTTTGTGGCAGGGGAAGCATATGCAGCAGCTGCTGGTGCTGGTGCTGAAAGGGAATCAGCTGCTAACGAGGATGGCTCAGCAGGTGACTAGGGTTCGGCAGTGACCTTGTTGGTGAACCATCATTTCTGGCAGCCCTTCTTGCTGTCACATACGTTTCCTTCCTTTCTCTGACGTTGTGGGGTGTCTTGCTTGGCCACGTGTGTGCAGGTGCACCGAATGACGGGAAGAGGAAGGGAGAAGCACAAGACGGAGAAGGAGAGGAAGGGGAGAAAGAGAGAGGGCCAACAGCGACATCACAGCAACCAGGTGATTCAACGGACTGCCCACTGGTGTGCCCACTGCCCAGCTTGCCGTAATGGCCTTCTTCTGTGTGGTAACCGTGTGAGGTTGGGCATGCTGTTAGGAAGGAATGGCACTGTGTGTAGGGTCTTGACGGGGTGTTCCATGGCTATGCTTTGTGCGATGTCTCTCTGTTTCTCTGTTTCTCTAACGGCCATCGGCGCATGTGTGCTGGCGTCTGTTAGGGACAGTGCTTGTATCGGAGGTGAAGGTGCCTCGCTTGGAGGATGCGGGGCTGGAGGACACTGCGCTGTGCTTATCTGACATTCAGGTTGGTGTGCCCCGCATCGCTTGCTTCAGTCGCTGCCGGCGAACGCGTATCCAAAACCGTCAAGAGCTGCTTGCTGCAGCCGATGGGTCCACGTGTGCAGCTGTTAGTGGAGGCACTTAATCACTGCCTGGTGGTTGCCTGGATGCTGTATGCTGTATGCATGTGTTGCGTGGGGCCAACCATAACGGGGACAACCATGCATGCGGCATCGGTGCAGGCAGCATTTGAGATTGCAGCCAGAGAGAGGCCAATGGGTAAGCATGTTGGAGGTAGCCCTGCTCACCCACCACCCTCCCCTCCACCTTCCCTGGTGCCAAGCACTGGCTGCACTGGGGGTACAGTGCCTCTTCTTGTGTGTGCCTCGTTCTCCCTCCCCCACTGCAACAGCATTCTTCTCACCTCACATTTCCTCGTTCGCGTGTTTTATTCCTGCCTCTGCATAATGGCACATGCATCCCCAGCAGAGCCCAGTAACCGCAGCAGCAGCAGTGACAGCTCAGCAGGCAGCGAGTGGCAAGTGGTCTCTAAAGATGATGCTTCTAAGGAAGACGGACTGAAGGCACCACAACCCCCTGCTCTTCCTACTGCTGCTGCTGCTACCGCTGATCCGGCTGCTGCTGCTGCCACTGCTGCTGCTGCAGTGAGCTCAGATGCAGCAGAGGAACCGCCTCGTACAGACACTCCTGCTTCGGATGTTGCAGATCCGGCAGCTTTGAGCGCCGAGCCTACAGCTGAGGCCATAGGTGCTGCCAGCACTTCGGTTGCAACAATGGAAGACGGCAGAGGAGGGGAGAAGAGAGAAGGAAAGGCGGGAGAGGAGAAGGGAGCAAGGGGCAAGAAGGAAGGTGGAGATGGAGAGGAGGATGAGGTAAGTTCCTATGAATGAGTTCTGTTTCTGTGGAGCGTGCCATGGGCATGAGGTCTTCAGAAGGGGTGGGGAGGATGTTTGGGGTGGTGGTTGAATTGAGATTCCGGATGTGTCAGGCAACCAGGGGTCGTTTTATGTGCTGTAGTTTTTGTCATTTGCATGACCAGGTGCTGGATGCCGGGGGTAGTGACTCGGTAGCGATCGTGTCATGTTTGTTGCTCTTTTTTGCATGGCTAATGCTTGCAGGATTGGGGGGAGTGGGAATGAGAAGCGCAAGCCACCGAGAATTTGTTGTGTCCCGTATGAAACAATAAGTGTGTTCACGAGTTTAATGCAACTGATTGCGTATCTTGCTTGCCAGTGTTCAAATTATATATATTGTTATATAATTGGTAGGCTTGGTAGGTTATCGAACTCTACAGTAGAAGGTACAATCCCCTCCTTGTATGCCTCTCTCTCTTCTAGTTCTCCCACTTTTTCTCTCGTCATCTTTCTCTCCTAGCTCCTAGCTCCTATCTCCTTAACCCTCACGCCATTCCATGGCTTCCCTTCCGTTCCTCCTAGCCTAGATATTTTGACAGTCTGATTGTTGTAGATGCATATAGTACGTGTGTATGATATAGGAATACCATATGGTATTAAAACCCGCGGCTCAAATTGCGAGGCGTGGCCTTCAAACGCACTGCGTCTGAAAGTCGTGTTTTCGTGGGTGTAGATGGGGGCAACGTAACTTGCGTCACTCAGGGGTGGTTTTCAAGTTCGGTGCGGAACGTATTTTGGGACACTAGGTGCCTCTTGTTTTTTTGCCGTCCATTTTTTGTGGATTTCCATATGACGGCGCGCAAGCAAAGTCCTTCCCCCAGTCAATCGAAATACAATCTCAGCCGTCGCAATGCGTGCAAGAAAATATGACGGTCCACGACAAATTGCGAATTCGTTAGATGAAACTGTCAAACATGTGTATTTGTCATGTTTGTATAGACTGTATAGAGTCACCTCTTAGAGGATACAAAACTTAGATATATTTGTGTGTACTCTCACTTTACCATCATTCAATTATTCTGATATGGTATCACGCGTAGGTAGGATCCCCCCCCCCCCACCTACCGCTTCCGCTCATGCCCCCTAGCACCCCTCCTGGGCCCCGTCGCGCTCCTCCCAGGCCCCGTCGCGCTCCTCCCAGGCCCCCTAGCGCCCCTCCTGGGCCCCATCGCGCTCCTCCCAGGCCCCGTAGCGCCCCTCCTGGGCTTCGTAGCGCCCCTGCCAGGCCCCGTCGCGCCCCTCCTGGGCTTCGTAGCGCCCCTGCCAGGCCCCGTCGCGCCCCTCCCAGGCACCGTCGCGCTCCTCCCAGGCCCACTAGCGCCCCTCCTGGGCCCCGTCGCGCTCCTCCCAGGTCCCGTAGCGCCCCGTCGCGCCCCTCCTGGGCCCCGTAGCGCCCCTCCTGGGCCTCGTCGCGCCCCTCCTGGGCTTCGTAGCGCCCCTCCTGGGCCCTGTACCGCCCTCCCAGGCCCCGTCGCGCCCCTCCCAGGCCCCGTCGCGCCCCTCCCAGTCCCTCTAGCGCCCCTCCTGGGCCCCGTCGCGCTCCTCCCAGGCCCCGTAGCGCCCCGTCGCGCCCCTCCTGGGCCCCGTAGCGCCCCTCCTGGGCCTCGTCGCGCCCCTCCTGGGCTTCGTAGCGCCCCTCCTGGGCCCTGTAACGCCCTCCCAGGCCCCGTCGCGCCCCTCCCAGGCCCCGTCGCGCTCCTCCCAGGCCCCCTAGCGCCCCTCCTGGGCCCCGTCGCGCTCCTCCCAGGCCTCGTAGCGCCCCTCCTGGGCTCTTTCGCGCCCCTCCTGGGCTCCGTAGCGCCCCTCCTGGGCCCCGTCGCGCCCCTCCTGGGCCCCGTAGCGCCCCTCCTGGGCCCCGTCGCGCCCTCCTTGGGCCCTGTAGCGCCCCTCCTGGGCCCCGTCGCGCCCCTCCCAGGCCCCGTCGCGCCCCTCCCAGGCCCCGTAGCGCCCCTCCTGGGCCTCGTCGCGCCCCTCCTGGGCTTCGTAGCGCCTCTCCTGGGCCCCCCCTCGTGCCCCTCCTGGGCCCCGTAGCGACCCTCCTCGGCCGCGTCGTACCCGTCGCCGCCGCCCGGCCCCGTCGTGCCCGCCCGGCGCCGTCGCGCCCTCCCGACCCCGTCGCCGCCGCCCGGCCCCGTCGCGCCCGCCCGGCGCCGTCGCCGCCGCCCGGCCCCGTCGCGCCCGCCCGGCGCCGTCGCACCCTGCCCGGCCCGTCGCGCTCGCCCGGCCCCGTCGCAGCCGCCCGGCCCCGTCGCACCCGCCCGGCCCCGTCGCACCCTGCCCGGCCCCGTCACAGCCGCCCGGCCCCGTCGCACCAGCCCGGCCGCCGTCCCGCTCGCCCGGCCCCGTCGCACCGGCCCGGCCCTGCCGCACTCGCCCGACCCCGTCGCCCCAGCCCGGCCCCGTCGCGCCCGCTCGGCCCCGTCGCCCCGTCCCGGCCCTGTCGCATCAGCCCGGCCCCGTCGCGCCCGCCCGGCCCCGTCGGGCCAGCCCCGGCCCCGTCCTCCTCACTGGTACGGTCCCCCCCCCCCCCCCCCCCCCCCCCCCCCCACCCCGCCCTGCTCCGTGCCGCCCTGCACCGCACTACACCGCACTGCACCGCACTGTACCGCACAGTACCGCACTGCACCGCACTGCACCGCACTGTATCGCACTGCACCGCACCCCACCTGGCTGCACCGCCCTGCACAGCACTGGACTGTTCCTGATGGCGGCGGAGCTTCGCTTCGACGCTGAAGGTCAGCCCCTAGAGTTCGAGGCGTGGCTTGCCGACCTCCGCCGCCAACTCACTGGCCAGCGGCAGGATGGTGAACCGCTTTCCGCACACCTTGACGGTACGCTCCCCTGCCCAGACCCTCCTGCTATTCTGCCCGCTGACCCCACACCCACTGAGCGTGACTCTACTGCTGCCACTGCCCGTGCGCGCTCTGTCTGGCTTTCTCGCGATGCTGTCGCCCAGCTTGCCATTAGCAACGCCCTCCCCCCGTCCGAGCGTCCTCGCTTTAGGTCCCTCACTACTGCTCAGGCATACTTAGATGCTGTCATCAAGCGCTATTCCACCCCTCCGGCTGCCTCGGTGGGTCGCCTGATCCTCCCGCTGCTCTTTCCTGACCTTGCTTCGTTCCCCACTGTCTCTGACCTCGCTGCCCACCTGCGCTCGATAGAGGAGACCTGGCGCGCCGCATGCACTGACGCACAGCTTAGAGCCCACCAGCCGCCCATTACCTCTACCCTCTACCTGCTTGCCACCCGCCTCCCTGACCGCCTTGCTGTCGCCCGCTTCCTTAGTGTTCACCCCGCAGACCTCACCCTCACTGACTTTGTCGACACCCTGACTGTGATAGAGACCCGTCACCGCTCCATCGCCCAGGCGAGCGGTGTCGTGCCGGTCCCTATCTTTCAGGGTTGTGCCCCCGCTCAGTGTACCTTCTCCGACGGCTCTGCCGCAGTGGCTGAGACTGCTGCTGCAGCGCAGGCCCCTTCTGGGAAGGGCCGCCGCCCCAAGGCTGGGCGCGGCGGAGGGGGCGGCGGGGGTGCGGGCGGGGGTAGTGGTGGGGTCGGGTCGCCTGGTGCTGGAGCGGACGAGGGGACCCTGCCCAGTCCAGCTGAGTCGCCGCCCCTGCAGTTGCAGCAGCCGCAGCAGCCGCCGCAGTCGCAGCCTTCGCAGCAGCCGCAGCAGCCGTCGCAGACGCGGCAGACGAGTGTTCTCCCGCCAGGGTGGCCCGGCGCTGGCGGTGGACGGGCGCGTGGTGGTGTGCCGCGTGGTGGCTCTGCCGGCGGGCGTTGTCAGTACCAGATCCAGACCGGTCCTCGCCGCGGTTTCGTTTGCGGTAAGATCGGTCACTCCACTCCCCGCTGCTTTCGTCGCCTGGACGACCTCTTTCGTCAGCGTTTCGGCCCGTCGCCAGACCTCCCGGACTGGCACAGTTTGCTTAGTCGTCAGATTCAGATCTTTGATATGGACATGGATGCCATTGTTTCTGCTCTGCATGTGATGTATGCTGATGACTCTAGTGTGCTTCCGACTTATTACTCACTGTTGCCTAGTGTAGGTGTGCCTAGCTTAGCCTCCCCTGCTGCGTCAGGCGTAGGATCCCCTGCTTTGTGTAGTCTTGGTGCTTCTGCCGTCGCTCCGTCGCCAGACCCCTCGGCTTCGCTTTCCTTCACCTTGGACTCTGGCGCCTCTCGGTGTTTCTTCCGCGACTCCACCACCCTGACGCCGCTTCCTGTTCCTGCTGCCGTTTCTCTTGCTGACCCCTCCGGCAGCCCGGTAGTCGCCCGCAGTTCCACCACCCTTCCCTGTCCGGCGGTTCCTTCGGGCTCTCTTACAGGTCTGCATATCCCCTCGTTCTCCAGGAACCTAGTTGGTGTCGGCTGCCTCCAGGACCTTGGCGTCACCACTACGTTCCCTGGTCACGAGCGGTATGCTGTCTGTACCGAGGCCGCCACTGGTGCCCCCCTGTCCACGTTCCCCCGGGACCCGGTGTCCGGCCTGTTCACTCTGGACACCGTGCCCCCCCGGCTGGAGCGCCCCCTCAGGTGGCTGTGTCTACCCAGGTTGCTGCTGCCTGCTCCTGTCGCTCCCTCACTCACCCGACCCTCCTGTGGCACCACCGCCTAGGTCACCCTGCGCTCCCGCGTCTGCGTCACATGTCCCAGCACGGTCTTGTCCTTGGTCTCCCAGGTTCACTCCCCGCGTTTCCCTCCTCCCCAGCTCCACCTTGCACGCCTTGTGTCGAGGGTCGGCTTCGCCGTGCCCCTCACTCCTCCTCGTTCCCCCCTACCGCCGCGCCGCTGCAGACCCTGCACCTGGACGTCTGGGGCCCCGCCCCCGTCCCTGGGCCGCGTCGCGAGCGCTACTTCCTTGTGCTTGTCGACGACTTCACTCGTTACACCACAGTCTTTCCCCTGGAGCGCAAGGCCGACGTGCCTGGCGCCCTCATCCCCTGGCTTGTCTCTGCGCGTGTCCACCGCGGTCTCCCTGTCTTGCGTCTTCACTCAGACCGTGGTGGCGAGTTTGCCTCAGGTGTCCTTGGTCGCTTTTGTCGTGCGGAGGGCATCACCCAGACGTTCACCCTACCGGACTCCCCACAGCAGAATGGGGTCGCTGAGCGACGCATCGGCTTGGTCATGGAGGTCGCTCGCACCTCCATGGTCCATGCCGGTGCACCCCATTTTCTGTGGCCGTTCGCTGTGCGCTACGCTTGTCACCAGCTTAACCTGTGGCCGCACCCTCAGCAGCCGCAGGTTTCGCCGACCCGTCTGTGGACTGGGTCTCCTGGTGACGCGTCTGCGTTCCACGTCTGGGGCTGCCTTGCTCACGTCCGTGCCTCCGGCACGGACAAGCTCACTGCCCGCACCCTTCCCTGCGTCTTCCTCGGTTTTCCCCTTGACGCGTCCGACTGGCACTTTTACCACCCGCCGTCTCACCGCTTCTTTCACTCTCGTGA